TCAGTTCAGGAGAAAAGACAAAGAAAAGGATCACTCACATTCAGGCATCCCACAGTCCCTTGCAAAGCCCTTTTCCAGCAATATTTCTTCTTCCACCCCCCTGCTACATCTGCTCTGTTTACACCCTAGCACAGACACACAGGATTTACATTTCATACAGCAGTAGAGTTGTCCCAGTGACAGAAACAATTTTATTTAAGGTTTAACAATTACTCTGCACCAGCAAACAAGGTTTTGTTCCTCCGGGTGATGTTAATGGTTTCCTTATTTGATGAGGATGGGCCCCTCAGGAGGCAAAACGCAGAGAGACAGACGTATTAATGTCTAACACCCAAGCCATGGAAAGGGTTTTCAACAGCTGTGACAAAATTTTAGGTGCATCAAATGCACCTAAAAAATCATATAATTATAGAATAGTTTAGTTTAGAAGGAATTTTAATATCACCTCGCTTCAACCCCCTGCCATGGCAGGGACACCTTCCACTAGACAAGGCTGCCTAAAGCCACATCCAACCTGGCCTTGGACACTTCCAGGACATCCCAAATTCTCTGGGAAACGTTTCCGCGGAAACTCTCCTACAAGGGTTTTGCAAGAGAGCACCGTGCTGCCCTCCTTCAGGCTCCTCCCGGAAGAGCCTGAGACGACAGCAGAGCTTTTCCAGCTGAACGCCAAGGCCAGGGGGCACCAGGCCCTGGCAGGATCTCGCCAAATGGCGGCCCCTCCGTAAGGCGCTGTCGGCCCGCCACCCGCTGCCGACCCTGCCCACCCGCCGCCAGGCCCGGCCCCCGGCACTCACTCCTCTAGGAAGTCCAAGAACAACTTCTGGCACTTCTCGGCCACTTCATCGCGGATCTGCTGGTGCTGCGGCGCCGCGCCCGCGCCCCCCACGGCCGCCACTGCCAGATCCATCCCGACCGCTGCCCCGGCCCCACAGCGGTTCGCGCCACGCCGCGTACCACGTGGGTCGCGCGCCCGCCGCGTCGGCCAATCAGCGGCCGCTGTGCCGCAGAGCCCCGCCCCCGGCGGCCGTTTTCGCGCCAAAGGCGAGGGGCGGGCGGGGCTGAGGGCGGGCTCTGAGGCGGCGGCCGGTCAGCGCCGGGCACCAGCCCCGAGCTACCCGGTCAGGGGCAGCGACCGGGTCCCAAGTTAAACGGCTGTGGCTGTGTCAGCGAGCTGCTCAGTGCTGCGGACGGCTTAGAGCTGTGCCAGAGCAGCACAGTGTTTCCTACGGAGAAACAGTCATAGAATGCTAAGGAGTTGTAACCCACCTGCCATGTGAGGAACACTTCCCAGTCGAACGTGGAGCTCAGGGGCTTGTATGCAACCTGGTCTCGAACCCTGTGAGGAATGGGGAATCCACAATCTCCCTGAGCTACCTGTTCCACTGTCTCACCATGCTCACAGTGAAGAATTTCTTCCTAACATCTCACTTAAGTTCCCCCTTTTCAATATGTCTCCATTCCCCTTGTCCTGTCACTACAGTTCTTGACAAAGTCTTTCCTGTCATCTCTTAAGATACTGGAAGGTTGCTATGAGGTTTCCACACAACCTTCTCTTCTCCATGCTCGACATCCCCAACTTTACTAGCCTGTCTTTGCAAGTGAGGTGCTCCACTCGTTTTATCAACTTCATGGCCCTCTTGTAGACTTGCTCCAACAGTTCCATATCCTTCTTATGCTGGGGATGCCAGAACCACAGGCAGAGAGGTGTCAGCTGTGGGCAGCTTCAGCACAGCAGCTGCAGTGGCGCTTCCACATGACACTGCTTTCCCCACAATCAAATCAGCAAGGGTAGCTGGAGTTAAAATTACTGTGGTGTGGCCAGGGCACCGCTGAGGAATCCCCGCCAGGGAATCCCCACAATGTGTGCAGTAGGCACTTGGGCAGCTGCTCACAGAGGAGACCCATGCCATGGAGCATCTCCAGCTCCTGAAAAACTGGCCCAGGTGGAAAGGGTGAAAACTACACCAGATGAAGGTCAGGCCACAGTCTGGACACTTGAGTCCTCACTGGCACCATTGTAGGATGGTTGAAGGCAACATTTGCCAAGCGGTGCCATGGCTGACAGCCATTCCCGAATGGCAGCTGCTGGCACACGGCGCCTGCCAGCAGGAACCGCTTCAACATCTATGAAAAATTGCTTAGAATTGCTCTGCCACCTGCAAAGTCATTAATCTCTGCCTAAACTGGGAATTTTACTGTAATTATAGCAGCTAAGGGCTCTTTTTCAGTTTTGAAACCCTTTCAGAAGTGCCAGCAGCAGCAGCCTCCTGCAGCAGTGTTTGTTCATGTCACGGTGTACTTGCCATATAGTGAACACTTAACTGCAAAACAGTAAAGAAAGTAAGAGATTGTAGAACTAACTTGGCAATTTTTAAAACACTTGTGAGGAAATTCCATTTTCTGTGAGATAATACTAGGAAAAATGCACACAAGTTGGTTGTGAGGTTTGTTCTAAAAGAATTATTCCATCCTACATGATTCCTATATCTCAAAAAAGAATCTACAATTACCCAAAGAAGAAACACTAAATAATTAAAATACGTTTGGGGAAGTTTCTGGAACCCCAGTGTGAACCAGAGTCCAGGGCAGCCATATGGTGTTCCCCAATGGATATAGTCAAGGCATTCTCCTCCATCCCTTACTTTCACATGGAGTGGTGTCTAATATGCCTGGAATTGACAGGCACCAGGTGAAAGCACAAAGTTTTCCTGCTTTTTTTTTCTTCCCTTCCTCCTGCCCTGGCCCACTGGGCAGGGAGCAAGCAGCTGTGAGGTGCTGCCCACCAGGGTTATCCCAGCAGGTGTGGGCAGCCATGGGGAGCCAGGCCTCCACTTGGCTGCCAAAAGAACAGCCTGAGTCCTCTTTCCCACTGGGCAGATTCAGACAGCTCAGTGAACACAGATGGGTTTTCACAGGAAAACAGTGCAGTAAAACTTCAGAAGCAAACTGAATCTTTATGTTTGTTTTGAGCAGATTCCCTGGCTACCCTAAACAATATGTTTTATAGTTCCTTAGTTTAAAATATTGCACTACTGTAATTACCATCTGTGTATCATGAAAGAAAACAAAACCAAAACGATTTTACCTGGTGGAAAGACAGCAGCAATGTGGACTCCTTGTAAACTGGTAAACTTCCTGCAAATTACTGGAAATGAAGGACAGTACAGGTTTTACTTTCCCAGAACTATTACAGTAGATTTGCTTCCTCTCAAAACACCATAAAGGTCTTCTAGACCTTTATTATTCACAGGGTTTTAAACTAAGTTCTAGCACTGTGCAGCTCCCACTAAAGTATCCTGTTAAGATGACATTCAGGACAAACGCATTTTGTATTTTGATTTATGATCATAATTATTTCCTGTTAGCTAAGAAAGGCTGCATGAATGGATTGAGCAGACAAAGGAATCAGGGCCCCCATCTGAATTCTTGTCCTTGTGCAGTTACTGTGAATAAATGAAACTACAGCATGAGTTTGAGTAACTCTAAAAGAATTGGTACAAGCACAGCTGTTACAGGCATGTATGCACAAAACTTGCTGCCAAATCTAGAGCAAGAAAGAGTACCTGGGATATTTTTTTGTAGACAGGAAATTTAAGTCTGTAATTTTGCTCCTGGTTAGAAGAATGCACATCCAAAGTGGAATATATTATCAGTTCTGTATGAACAAAAGTAATTAAATTAAATTAAATTAATTCCAGTTGGCTTAGCTAAATAAACAACTGTTTTGAAACTTGGATTCATCAGTAGTAAGTCTGTGACAATGAGCTGTGTGTATAATCCATTTAGCTTTGCAAAGTACAACTGGTTACAGTGTAAGATTTTCAGGTTAATAATTTGGGGAAGATTCCATAGTAAATTAATTACAACAGACTCATAAGCAAAGCTGCTAAGTGTTATTCATTGAATTGTGTCACTTCTAAACAAAGTTTAACTTCTAAATTTCCAGTACTTTACCTGACTGACCTTTATTATGATTGTTTTCTAATGGAGAACTCTTGTCATAAGACATTAAAATTAAGTCTTGTTCAATGGCAGCTGCAAAGATGATTTGCCCTTTTGTGAAACTCTACCCAATTTATACACAGCCTCACTGACCTTTCTGTAGCATAACCAATATGTGACTTCTCTGACATTTAAAAATCAAGGTAGCAACAATAACACAGACCATCCACACTGTACCTCCTACTGAAAGCTTGATCATGTAAAATGTTAAACAAAAATTAAGTCAGGAATTACAAATACATATGAATATTACAGCAACTATTGCAGTAGTACCCAAATCAGAAATTTAATAATTTGTTCTTTGGCAGCAACACTTACAAAATGTTTTAAATTTGAAAACCAACTCCCAGATGCAGTCTACAAAAGGAAGTTTCAGATTCACTGGTGCCTCTCCAAATGCAGGGAACATTCTCTGGCTTGGGAGGAGGAGGATGACAAGGAGAAGTAGCTTTGTGCACTGCTGCAAATTGAGGAGTTCAAGTAAGTAAATAATCTGAGAAAAAGTATGTCTAGAAAGAATTTCAGAACTACTCTGACTTACAGAAACACTCAATTTCTCTAAGTATACAAAGTTGGGCTGTTCACAGCATTTATAAACAAAAAAACCCCACCCTGAAATAGATTGGCTTGGTGTTGTTTTCCTTGGTAAAAGATGCATGAAATCGTTGTTTTGTTTGTTATATCAAAGGCTGGTTTAGGCAGGAAAACATATGACTTGTTCTCAAACTCACTACCCATTTATTTTCTGAGAATATCATATATACTTTGTGTATTCCATGAAAATGTGTAAACTTGCATGAGAATGTAATTTGCATTTTCAAATAGTTACATAAAATAAAGACCAGGCTTACGGCTTTTATACAACTTCCAAAAAAATGAGAAGATAAAAAATAAATTTAAACTTCAGATGGTTATTACATCAGTAAAAAAACCAAACCAAAAAAACCTTACTGATTATTCTGTGAAGATACAAAGCAAAAAAACAGACAAATTTGTATCAACTTTGCTTTGAGAGCTTTATTTCAACCTATTTTAACAACTTCTTACGAAGATTTCTTGTTAAGAACGTTCTCACCTGCTTCCCTTCCTGACACTAATGTAAATTATCAACTGGCTGGTCTCTCCAGATTTTTAAGTTGCAAGCATCCAGTCACTTTATCTCGGAGCCAGTACTTCCCAATATTCAATCTTGCTGACATAAGTGAAAAATGCAAAATGGTTATTGCATAATTTATTAAAATGTTTAGAAAAACGATACAATTTAATGTGGCACTAAAGTACTAATTCAAAGTATCCCATTTTCATTAAAAACATGCCCTTGCCAATACAAAGAGTCTTGATCTGTTAAAATATTTTCCTTTAAATAAACAACTAAGGATAAAAAAAATTACTGTGGCACTTAATAAAGGAGAATTTTGTTTTTAATTGCATATCATAATGCTCAAATCAATCAATACACGTTCATCAGCAGCAGAGGCTATGCCTATTTGCAGGGCAGAGCATTCCCAACTCTCAGAGCAGCTCATGTCAGGGCGTCAGGCGTTTGGGATCCCTGGGGAACATGGAGGTCTGGCGGACATTGTGCAGCCCCAGGTACAGCATGGTTACTCTCTCCAGCCCTAGAGAAGATGAGAACAGCCCATCAGCACCATCAGTCTTTGTTCAAAACCCCAAAGGAGCTGCAGGTCCTCCCCAGCTGGAGCCAGCCTCATAGAGCAGTGTGAGCACAGCCCATTGTGCAGACACTTCCTAATCCCTGGGGCAATAAACACCCCAGCCATGGAGGATGGAACCCAGATGCACATTTGTTTTTCCACACAGCTCCTGCGTTAAGGTTTCCACCTGGAACAGCCTGAACACAGTGATAATTCTCGTGGCATCTCTATTTGCCTTGTACTTTGCCAGGAGGACCATCTACTCTGAAGAAAAGATGAAGCTTCAGCTTCCTTGATGTCAGTTCTAACTGGCCTAAATTATTCTGGATTACCTGCAAATGTTGCATGCTCCCAAACAGATGATGAATCAATCACTTATTTCTCCTTAGTGCAAAACACCTTCATCCAATACACAGAGACCAGTGGCTGCTGGTATGATTATGACTTTGACTAATCCATACATAATACACTATTTTCTTGTTTCCTTATATTTTCCTCAGTGGTCAAATCTGAAAGTGATGTACCTGGCTAGTGAGGTGGCACTTTTTCTTGTGATCATATTCTTTTTAAACTCACCAGACTGTGCCATTAGTATTTTGCCTATTTATTTTATGATGATCCTTGAATTTGAACTTATCTCCTTCAATTTGCCAGGATAAACAGCCCCACAAGGTCACTATTCAGAATTTTATACTGAATTCTGCTTGGAGCTGAGCAGTTTAAGTTAAGCTCAGGCTAAACAAAAAACAGATACTTACCTATTCCACCACCTGCGTGTGGAGGTGCACCAAACCGAAAGGAGTCAATATAAGCCTTTATTTTCTCCAAATCTAGAAAAGAAAAATATTGGTTTCTTGCCTGTTTAATGAACCCCAAGCCAAACAAACAAGTGACTGCAGGACTACAAGCACAACAAAAAAATTACAAACTAACAGTGGGATTTTACTCATTGAACATGTAAATTGTCCAGAGCTATTTAGAATTTATGACTATAACAGTTTTATTACATAATTTTATTAATAACTATTCAACAAGGTGTTGCTGGAAGATTCACTAGTTTTTTAATACCTCACTCTAGATTGTTAAACAGAATAAGGTGGATTAACAGTAAGAATAAAAGAGAAATCTGATTTTACCACTCATATAACAAATTCTGCCCCAAATTCTCCCTCGAAAGGACACAAATCAAGTCACAACTTATGTTCTTTTAAATTGCCTTGTTACCAATGCCATGATGCTTGGCTCTTTCTGTCAGCAGCTGGGGGTCGTGAATTCTCTGAGCTCCAGACAAGATCTCTTCCCCTCTCATGAACATATCATATGAGTTAGAGGTTTTCTGGAAACACAAAAAGGACTTTACTTCCTACCTAGAGTTCCGTAGTTTGCAATATTTACCTCTCAATAGTTTAATTTTCTGATATCCAAAGCTGTAAAAAAAGCCAATTTTCACCTAAAGTGTCTGCTCTCCTGGAAAAAATGTTTCTGCCACTTCTTGCTCATTTCCTTCTGGTCTGTTTTCACCAGTAAAAGAGTAACTGAAAACATTTGACAAGTCATGTAACCCTGACCTGACCTTGTTATCATAATTTTAATTACAGCAAGGCTGCAATAAATGTTACGGTCCATTCAAACCCAAACCATTAAATGATTTTATGGTTATATTAATACACTTTATCTATATTATCAAGTTATTGCTACATAGAATAATTAAAAAAACTAAAAAAAAAAGAAAAAACCCCATTGACAATAACAGGGAATTGTACTTACAGGGTTGGCTGGGTCTGGCATTGTATAAAAAGGCCTCACAGCAAGAGGATATTTGTCAAGAATATAGAAGTCTGTATCGTACTGAATAAGTAATTTTGAATAGTTAGTACAAGAGAAAACTACAAAAACAAAAAAAACCCACCAAATTACAAGAGAAAGAATCAATGAATCTTTGAAAAAAAAAATCCCAACAGCTTCCCATAATATTGTCTAAGTATCAATAAAAATAGTGCATTCTTTCTCAGGTTTTCAATACTACTTCTAGTGTAAACCTACAAATGCTGAGCAGTAAAATGTGTTGCTGTAACAGGTACTTCCCCCCCCCCCCCCCCCCCCAAAAAAAAAAATATATCTCATCTTCTCCTATAGATTTTAGAATCTGGTTGGCGTTTTTTTGAAAGTCTCCTAAGAAGTGGCTTTGGAACATACTAGCCCATTTGGTGTCCTCAGCACAACATATGATAAAAATAAATATAAAATATTGAAAATGGTTTGAAATTGCTTATTAATAACAACGACAAAACTGACAGTAGATGAAATACACAGCACCAAAATGGGAATGCAGACAATTTACAAATGGTAATCACCAACTCTTCACAACTTCTGCATGTTCTGAGGTACTGTTTACATACAGGTATTATCACCAACCCAATGAATCCATAGTATTAGGTTTTAGATCCAGTGACAAATTTATTTACTCTAAAATAATTGTTACCTTTTCCTTTACCAGGCGTCCCAGGAGCTTTTCATTAGGTGTGCTGAAAAAGATTATCATCATTAAAATGAAATAATTTGAACTTGCACTGATGATATACTTCACAAAGCCCAAAAGATTACAGCTACAGAGCTGCTGCACCCTGACCCTTAGAAAATCTAGTACTTGCTTCTGATTGTTTTGAGTTGTGCTCACAGAAATTGCAAAGTAAAATATATTTATTTGTTTCTAAATACTTCGTATTGGTCCTAGAAATCCTGTAAATTAACTGGTAACTAAAAATATTCTTGCTCTTCATGTAATTTCTTCCTAATGACCGTATTCTGATTACTGAAGAACTGTACTCTATTTCCTACTGCCATACATCTTGTGTGTGACACAAAAAGTGAGAACTTTTTTCAACATGAACACTTGTTGAGGAAATTATTTTCCTCCATCAAACTCTTATGATGGAAACTTTATTTGATACACAGATCACTTAACTTAAAATCACACAGTACCCTAATGGTCCTGGATATATTATGGAGAAGAACAGAAATGTTTTAATTTATTAAATGTCTTTAGTAAATTTTATACATAAACTGCTAATTAAACCATCTCTCAGTAAATCAATGGGAATTAATCAAGAATGTTTATTAATTTTCCTGAGATTTGGAAAGAATAAATGGAAAGGTGTTACTTAAAAGAAAGACCTTAAGGCAGCAGAATCTTTTTAGTTAATCCTATTCAAAGACATGTGACAATTCATTTGAAGGACTGCAATTGCTGGACAAACAAACACTTCCTTAGGAGGTTCAAGTTGCTCTCATTTTATGTTGTCAGTTATTTTCTGTCAAATTTCAGAGTTTGTACCTATAGTCTACGTTAAAAGAAAGGATTATCTTCATATCCACTCATTTCCTTGCCAAGAGATCTGGGCAGAAGTGCTGTTTATTCCTCTAAAAGCTGTGGTTCCTTACTGAGGGCTGCCAGGTGCTCAGTGCAAAACTGACACTTCACTACCACTTTCCCAAGACTGACACAGTTACGTCCTGCCAAGTACCTGAGATCCTCTTCATCACCCATCTCCACACCAGCCTCTCGAAGCATAGCCACACCTTCACGGTATTCCAGCCTCAGAGTTGGCTCCAAAAACTTAAATGGCTCACATGGGAACTGTTTGCTCACTGTCTGAATTTCAGTTTGGAATCTACAGACAAAGAAACAAGAACAGAAGCCAAATACAAAATAGTCAAGAACTTGCACCTAATAAGGATTTTGTGGTTTTGCCACAAGAGGTCCCTCTTGCCACATAAAAACTGTATTAAAACCACTTCTGCAGAAATTCTGTAATGAATTGTTTTAACAAAGTATATGCATCTATTTCACTGATGTTAATAGTTACTACTACTTCTGTTTAGTCCCTTTTGTAAGAAATAATCGCTAGGCCAAATTTTCACAGTAAAGACACTGAAATCAGCCCCTAGATGAATAGTATTTACCTGCATTCTTTTTGGAGTAATATTCAAATAGAAACAAGAAATTTCCTTCTGGACAAAGATTTGCATATCTCCTGGCAAAACAATCTAATTTGTAAGCAAACAAAAACCACTTCCTAAACTTCTAGCCTGGCTTTTTAATGAGTTAGACTGTGAATAATGGAAAATAATCCTTGCTGTTATCATGGAACAAATGCAGGCTGATGCAATCACTTTTATTCAAGAAAACTTTCTTATATAGTAAATATTTAAATCATTTTTGAAATACAACAATCTACCAGTAGTGGCAAAAAAAGAAGGACATTTTAAATTAAGGATGGATCAATTATCTTAGGAAGTCCTTTCAACATCAGACAGCAAGTTTCTTAGTGCAAGCCAGCATACTACAGGAGATGCTAAAAGTAGCTTATTGGCCTATGGCTTGAGTGAAACCTTAGAAGTCAGGCACAAAGAAATATAGTTAAGAGCAAAGCAAAAATATGTTTCGAAGTTGTGTTGTAAATCAGATTACCAATGATTGTCTGACAAACTGAGGATAAAAGGCTGGTCTACTTTATTCCACAGTGCAAAAAATGTTGAACAAAGAAAGCTGCTCATTAAAAGAAGGAAATGCTTTTATTACCTTTCCTGAAGCCCTTTGAATATCTGCACCAAGGTATCTGCAATCTCATCTACCACTTCATGATAGTGATAATTAAAAGCCATTTCAATATCCAGACCAACAAACTCAGTCAGGTGTCTGTGTGTATTGGAGTCCTCAGCTCTAAATACTGTAAAATTAAAAAGCAGAAATTATAACTGACATGAAATTATAATTCCAGTTGGAAAAATAACAATCATCATTTGGATTAGATAGACATGAAAATTCTCACCGAAAGACACAAATATAACTAGCAGCCTCAGAGCATCATTTGTAACAGTGACAGCATTACTGCAGCTGTCTGTACTGCAGTGGCACTCAAAGGACACAAGACAGACACAACCCACAGACAGGCAGGATCTCTGCTTAGACCAACAAATACAAGTGGAAAAAACAGACAAGTTTCCAAGCACACAAAAACTTTCAGATTTGAAAACTGTCTTTTTCAGAGGAAATGGACTTGTACACATGCGTGTCATAAACACATCTTCCCACAAAGCATGACTCATCTGTTAGCGACTAACAAGAAATTTAAGGCCTTCTGAATTACCTGGAATTTTTTTTTTGTTTTGTTTTATACACTGTTATTGACTTGTTTTCAGCATTTAGAGGTTAGGTATCTTTAAACCATTTAAGGTCTTCAAAGAAAACTATTGTATTGCCACCTAAAGAGGCCATATTTATGAAAGCGAGCACTGGATTGGAAATTACTCCTTTTTTAGTATTTACTCACAGTTAAAAGTAAGCTTGTTCTCAGTAATGTTGTTCAGTACATGTACAGCAACTTCTCTGTCAACTTTACTGTCAGCAGTTGCCTCAACTGAAATTTGGTTTGGCAAGTGAAATTACACCAAGTGAAACTATTCAAAGCTTTAGAGTGTGTGTGTGTTATCTTACTTGTACCACAGCTGCTAAAACCAGGGCACACTTCACATGTTGCAAAAAGCAAAGCTTTTCTTACCTGGCCCAACGCAGAAAACCTTTTCAAAGTCAGCACATATACACATCTGCTTGTACAGCTGTGGGGACTGAGCCAGGTAGGCACTGGTTTTGAAGTAGGATACAGTAAACACATTGGCTCCTCCTTCACTGGCAGCTAGAAAGCAAGTGCTTTAATAAGGAATTATTGAAATAAAATTAAGCAGTTATTAAAATAAAAGTGTAAAATATTAATCAGAGGTAGAATGATAGATTATTGGTCTTACATTTAAAGATCAGAAAGAGATTTTTCTTCCAAGCATACTAGAGATAAAAAATATTTTTTTTATCCATTCATGCCAAAGTAAATTTTGCAGCTCAGCACTGTCACACATTGCCTTGCATTTCTGCAAATTTTGTTGGGGTAGTTTAAAATGTTCCTGTTTCAGCTGACCTTCACTTTAGAGTGAGAACAGCAGAGAATACCTCTGTGTACTGACACATCTACCTGAACCCCTACATTTCTGTGGAAACCAATCTCTGCCAGTGGCTCAGGCTGCCAGGGGTTCACTGCAGAGCCCAAGACCCAAGTGTATATCCTGTTTTGCCAGGACCATCCTCTCTACCTCAAGGGATAAATATCTCTCACAGCCAACCCCAGATTTACCAGAGGGCATGAGCCAAAGCTACACAGCTTTTTCTCAGTTTGAGGCAATTTTCACAGACAGCTACAGGAACAAGGATCACATGCATTTCCCTTACTGTGAAGCACCTATCAAAACTGCATCACTTCACCTTGCCAATTCCCAGTGTGTAACATGAGAGGTGGAGTGGCCTAACGCAGGTAACTTTTAAAAATCTCAAAACAGTTATGATGTTTAAATTGGAAGTTTAGTAAGGATGCATTGACTTAACTTGGTTAATTTTACAAAATATGCTCTCATCCCATCCAACAATGGGATGCTTGCTTGTTTCCAATGGGACACTGCACAATTCCTCAAAGGTCCTACATAAACAAACTACTTGACAGACTTTTAGTACTACATACTATATAACTGTATCTATAGAAAAAAGTAATCCAATCTTCCAGTTTAATGATACCTTTCATATTGAAAGAACAGCTGCTTACATGCATTTTGTTAAAATGTTCACTTTTTATCACAATCAAGAAATGTCGTCCAAAATATAAATACAGAAACATAAAATTCTGTAAGCAAGACGTGCACTTTATGAATGTACATACAATAACACAGTAACATAAATGTTTTGCTCTGATTTTCCATGCCATGTATCTTAGGGGCAGCAACAAAACCCCAAAGAGCACCAATAATATGGAAGAAAAACCTCCATCAGTAAATCAAGCCACTGGATTTTTGTAAACAATATAGCAAATCAAAAGAACTAGAAGCAAAATCTACATTTCAGAATTTTTAGCTGAAGCTGTTATTCCACATTTCCAAAAAGAAAAAGGTCTACCACCTTCTATTCTGCCACATTCTTATTGCTAAATTGTACCATGTAATGGCATCATATTTTATACCACGTTTGTTGCAACATCTTTATGATGGAATATGCTTTTAATCTAAATTAGACTAAATTTTTTTTTAATACTGAGAATGGAACAGGCAGTGCTCAACACTATGAACAATGATCTGAAGAATAATGCTTATGATCAGAATTAAACATTCATGTGCATTGCAAACGACATAAATCAGGTGTATATATATAATTTCTCTTGTCATTCTTTTAATAGCCTAAGTCAGGAGAAAAGTAAAGACCAACTCTGACACTTGCTAGAAGTTTGCTATGTTACATCTAAATTAGAAAGAAAATCTATATTTTTTAATAAAATCTTATTAAATTTTTGTCAGATAGGTACACTGAGCAACTACAAAAGAAGCACACCTGTAGCTGCTGGATAACATATACAATACCTGAAATGATTTTGGGAGTCTGAATTTCCACAAATCCCTTGCGAATAAGAGTTTCTCGAAAAAGCTGACAAATACCAGACTGAAGGCAGAAGATTGCCTGACTAGTGGAGGTCTACAAGAAGAAGATAAAATAATGAATCCTATATTAGTTTTTCCCGATTCTGTTACTTCTTCTGGACAGCTGGAAGGATGAATTCCTTCCCTCAGGAATACTTGATTATTGTAGCTGCCTAAACAGTGAAAAGTGTGAATCTGTAATTATCTGTTACACAGAAGGAAACAGGAAAGAAAACCAGAGAAATTATTAATTTCAATTTATAGCATATTCAGTTACAAATGAGGCACTATGGTCAATTCTACATTTGAAAAAAACCCTGATTTATGAGATGTGCTTCTGCAAATAAAGGTTTTACAGTAAAAAATTGAATGAAAGTACTAAATCTATTAAAAATTTTCAGCACACTGAACTAGAATAGCTGCAGAACACAGTGCATGACAAAAGCAAGGCCATTAATAACTTACATAAGGTAGAAATGTATGTCAGTTAAAGGCTACCAAATACAATGTTTTTCATGTAAAAACATGTTAACCATGTACAATACTGCCACAAAAACATCCAAAACCCAAGGCCTACACTTCCAATACTTAAGCAGCCCACATAACACCTGTTGATACAAACTGCAATTCTTCTTTTTTTCACCTTACTTTAAAAGTAAATTTAGCTGAAAAAGAACTGAACTGATGAATTAACTGAATTAACTGAATTTTCTTTTTGTTTTTGCATGTGACACAATTGAGCTGCTTATCTGGGTTAGCAAATACCTACACTAAACATTCCTGGAACACTTTCAGCATGAAGAATAAAACAACCACCTTAGTGACTGTTGCAAAGACTGCAAGGCCTCAGCACTGAAGCCATATCTGATTTTGTGTTTTCAGAATCTCAAACGTGACAGTGAGCAACCTAAGAGGGTACAAAAAGACCAACGAGTTCCTGCAAATGAGCAAGAGAACGGTTCTGTACGACAACCTGCGTCACAACACTGTTTACTTCTCTTTCTGAACAGCACCCAGCTCCTCACTCAGGGTAAGAAAGGCCTTGTGGGCTTTTGCACATGACTCTTCTACCAAACCACAAAACAAAAAACCCCCAACCGAAACAAATTATGTAAGCCAAATTTAGACAGACAGTCAGTAGAAATGCTGAAATAAAGGTACATCCATCATCTCTGCAATACAAAGACATCCCTTTACCAACAGACCCAAAGAGAAAACTGCAATAATACTGCACATCTATAGCTGTTTGGAGTTATTTGCTGTTTTTAGCTGACCAGTGAAATATTTCAGGCGGGTAAGTGGTTGAGACTAGTAAATAATAGCAGTTCTCACTGTCTGACAAACCACATGTCTGATAGACCACAGTCGCTACTCAAATGTTCAAAATTAAGGAAATGAGGTTTTGAGCAACAGTTACAAAAGTACCCTAAAAGTTTTTCATCTTTTTCACACTGGTCTCCCAGAGCAAGATATATGGTAAAACTCTGCCTGAGTTATGGGCATAATCTGGCAGTGTTACATCCAAGTACCAGGATGATTCAAAGGGATTTTTTCTTCTTAACCATCTCCTACTTGAAAGGTGAAAGAGTTGACAACTTTAAGTCACATTTGAGTTTCCCAATGAAGTTTTTGACGAACTAGACACATCTGAAATTGCTGAGAGAAGATGTGTAACATTAACATAAAGGAGAATAGAAACAATAACTCTTCTGCCCTTGGTGTGAACCAACAGCAGTTTCATGCCAGAGTAGGTGAGAATGCAGTAGTAAGTCAAACAGCCCCAAGAGAAAAAAGAAAACTGGCTGCTAAACCCAGTCTGAAAGCAATTACATGGTCTGATCTAAAACTCTGCACAGAAACAGAACCAGCCAATACCCAACACAGCTGTCCAGTAAGGTAACTCCTCCTGTCCTTTGTAAGGGTGAAGGACAAGGATTCTGTCTTCCTAAGCCATCTATAATGTTAAGTTAGGCTTAGAAACAGCATTCATGAAAGCAGCCAAATTCACAGAACTGGACACTGAAGCTTTTATTTAACTGCAGACCAAGAACAAGCAGCAATTCTCCCTACCTCAAATTAGATCTGACAGGACCACTCTTCTTTCACCAAAGGTGGCTGAGTTTCAGTGTCCATTTATTCAGAGACTGCCAACATGGATAACTGTTGGGAATTTGTGATACTGCAGCCTCCTTGTAAGAACTAAACAGACTCACAAGACATCTGAGATAAGCTCCTAAAGAACTGCATCTGACAATTTGCAGTGGAGTCAAACCAATGACCTCAGTAGTTTTATGTGCCACTACAATTTCCAAGTATTTTAAAAATGGAGAATAAACTTTTCAGATTTAATAACATTCCTTGCACTGGTGTGATGTTCAGAACACAAAGGGAACAAATTCATTTGAAGAAAATAATTCAGTAACTGAAAAGCTGGTATATATAGTAATGTCTGTACAATGGTAAGTAACACAGTGACAATTTGAGCTTCCATACTTAGGCACACAAACTAGGAAACCAACTGACTAGGTACTTAGCAAACTAAAGACAGAGACAGCTGTCAAAATTAATTGATTTTTACCTTTACCTTAAAGTAAGATTTTGCCATGGCATTCTTGTTGTATAGTGTTTACTCCAATAGGAACCCTTCCACATACATATTGACAAACTATTTTATCTGAGACTATGGCAAAGATACTCAATACTGCTTCAAGAATTAATCAGAAACAAACAAATTCATGATAATTAAATGCTGTTGCAGTTAACACTGTTAATGTTTTAACTTGGTCTGCAAAATTAATTTTACAGAAAAACTCTCATTATTTTCAATAATGTATAACCTTTGATACCGACAGCAGAAGAAAAGTTTAGGGAACAATGCTGAAGTATGAGTATGTTATAACCCCACTTTAATTTCACCTGTGTGTTTATTATTCAGATGCCATGAAAGGAAGACATTAATGATACAAGTGAGCACTATAAGCTTATAAAAACAATTATCACTTTTCATTTGGCACAAGCTGCAGTGTCAGAACAACAGCCACGTGTGCTGCCAAATGTTTTTCAGTGGCATTGAAGTCAGCTCACAGCAACATGATCATATCTGAGATGAGACCCACGCACAGACATGAGAAGTTGTGAACTTTCTTGTTACTCTCACATCAGCTGCAGAATTTATTCTGCTGTCCCCTCATTTTTGCTTTCCTGTTTGCCTGCTGTAGCTACCTATCATCCATCAGGAACAAGCACAAATACATAGCTGGCTAAATAATGTAATCTATATTCTTTTAAGTAATATACACTATTAAAAATAATGTAACTAATTTTGCAATATCTACACTATATATAGCCACAAATGAAGGTTTTGCTAGGAAACAGAATTTATCTGAAACAACTTTTTTAACCCCAAGGTGTCTGAAGTCAACTTTTATTCAAATTTCAGTATTACTTTTAAGTACAAGAATATATGAACATGGAGTTTGTTGTCTAAATGACTGGGACTCTGTATATACACACTGCCAAATCACTGCCCACAAGAAAATAAACTGTACATTTGCTTGTTCATTACAGCTTGGATTCAGTCAGGAAAAACACAGTTTTTGCAATGAGGAAATTGAATCCAATAAAATGAAATCAAGCCTGAAGTAATCGAGCATTTGGAAGAAAAGTGCATTAAGATCAGTGTACAGCTGGATTAGCACATACCACAGTCTGACATGCATAAACTACTAAAGACACAGTCTAATGTTAATGTCCTTCCCTGAGCAATATAAACAGGGTAATACTGACCCTAAAAAGGGGCTTTGCTTTGGGCTCAGTGTGCTGGGCTGTAACAGACACAACTGTAGGAACAGGACTGCAAAAAGGTACATTTGGAAGGTACCGTAGAGATGTAAGTCCTGCTGAACACAAAAAATAAACCAGAGCAAGGACATCAGTGAGGTCCATTGTAAACCTGGGTGAATCTGAATTGTTTCTTTCTTCAGGCTTTTCCAAAGATAAACTGAGATGTAAAACCCAAGAATTAGTGTTTATTTCACTGGTCTTTTCTTAATTATTTTTTTAAAACAATGTAAAACTGGAGGAACCTGAATTGGTATTTTTAAGAAGCAAACTACAAGAAACAGTGTTTGTTTCACTCGTCTTCATTACTTTTCACGTACCACAGAACTTTATGAAATACAGCTTCTGCAGGTCTTTTAACAGACATGGGAATTCTACACACCACCAAACACTTCAGTGAAACTTCAGAACAGCAGAAAAGTAAAGATTTAAAAACACAGTCAGTGCTCTCTCCACTTTGCCCTTTTTAACTGTTGTGGTAAATAAATGGTAAATCAAACATCCCTATGATAAGTGGTTTGACTTTCATTAAGCTATTGTGAAAAATAGATACTTAGGTCAAGAGTGGTTTCCTGACAGTCACCTGTGGTTATGTAAAAGAAAATCTAGATCATACCAGGACTTTTCTTCTTACCAGCTCTCTTTTCTCTAAAACCCCAACTTTTCTACTCCAAGGGTGAGATCTGTATTTGATGAGTTAACCCACCAGGAACAGGTTCATTCTTCTCCAGTAACATTCTTTGGAAATGATTTTCAAAACCCCTTAGCCCTAAATAATTACAATTTTTCTCTCCATACTTCACAATAACAACTACAGCAGTTGCCTGGCATCTTGGCCATTTAAGTACTTCCCAACCCCAACCTTACAAGAATTAAACTATGAGACAATTTTGAGAGATCTTTGTCAGCAAACAAAATGCAGGATTGTTAACAATTCACTGCAATACTCAGTCTATTTCCACATGTACACAACAGTGGAAGTCTTGCAATCTTTGCAACATACTTTGCATCTTTCATCTCCACTAATGTAATTTCCTTATTATTAATTTCTCTCCTTGTATTACATCATAATCAAACCTTCCTTGGTATACATTATAGCTGGATGGAGTGATGCTATTTTCAGAAATCCAGTTTTTTTCATTCATGTAATGACTGAGTTTCCCAGTTCCACTTCATCATGACTTGGCTCTATCCAGTTAACTCCTTTGTTAATCACTATTTTAAATTAGCTAATTACTTAACTGCTTTAAATACTGTGTTTAAATGGTCAAAAATAATTTTAGTTGCATACGAACAACTTTTTTTAGTCTGAACCTAACCAAGATCTATGCATTTAGCTTAGTAAATCGTTCTGAAAATAACAGCGTCCCTATTTCTGATGTTCAGTGATTTCTGTCTTCCTTAACAAACTGAGGCACTGAGGAAACCAGAACTAGATGATACATTTATGTATGGCTGGACTTCCTCCCACACTTGTAAGAACAGACCATCACAACATCTCCATTAGAACTATTCTGTTAAACTTTTTCCCTGTTGCCCATGATATGGTTTTCCTAGAAGAAACAGCTGTGGAACAATGGTTTCAGACAACACATCATGTTTGCAACCCTCCTTAGGACATGCCTACTTATGCAGTGCATTTGAAACAATAAAGGTTCTTTGAAGCCCCATTTGTAATCCAGTAGCTCCAATCTATGGAACCAAATCACTGAAAATCAATTACTACTTTCTGGATTTCTTTGTATTCCTACTCTTGTGATTCCACTACATACAGTGCTTAGGACGCACATATATATATATGTATGTGTTCTCACTGAAATTTCCCTTTCTTCATAAAATATCTTTTCAGCTTATTCAGCACTGTGTTTAAAAAAACAGCTTAAAATAACATATTTAGAATCTGCTTTTGTTCTGAAACACATAATGAAAAGTGCAACAGAAAAGACACAGAAATGTGTCACAGTCTGAGACAGAAACCTTTCCTGAGCAGAGGAGGAAGGCAAGACACATACCCAAGCCTAATCACAGGCAAGCTGTGGCCAGATTACACCCAGCTACAGGTGTATACAGAGGATGAGACATAGACACTTCAGTACTGAGATCTGGCATTCCATCCTGCCTCTAATTCTGTGAAAAGCTAACTTGAATTGCTGTTCAGCCATGAAACAGCTGCTTAGCACCACAATGCAGCAGCTGCTGGAGCTGAGGAGAAAAACAGCTTCTTAACACAAAGTTAATGTTCAGAGCTCAAAACAAGGTGCCAGACATTGCTGAAGAAAAGGTGTCCCAACAGTGGTTGGGACACAGAAGAGGTTACAGCAACATCCACTTAGGTCACCAGTTGCACCCTCCAGACAGAATACTGACAACTAATGCCCTACTGCTGTACTGACAGAGATATTTCAGGAGTATTGAGATGGTCATGCTGAAGTACTGGATGTGTACAGGGGCAGAATTTTAGTCCAGCCCTTTCCATTCCGTCTCTTGTGTTTATTCTGGCATGAGTCTTCCTTCTTTTTCCATTACTATTTACCTTCTTAGACTTTGCTAGGCAGATGCCCTGAACTGCTTTACAGCCAAGGATACCTCCAAGCCATTTTCACCCAGTATTTTTAAGTGTTATTTCCCTTTGTATAATTTCTCTGCTCTCTTTGGGCCTCATGGATCCTTTCAGTTTATTATACAGGTGTTTCTTCAATAGAATGGATTTTCTTAAGTTTCTCTGGAGTGCTCTTGGTTAATTTTATTCATCACCAGATGTTCAAGTAAAGCCTGCAGTTCAAGCATCCCAGATTTCTCCCCTTCAATTCAGTACACTGTCTAAGCACTACCATAAGCTGATGATATCTCAAGTGATTTTCACTTTCAATCATTAGTATAGAATTCTTTTCATTAGAGGCTTAATTTAAGACAGATTAAGAGACCAATATGATGAGATACTGAGTACCCTGAAAAGTAATCAAAGACTGAAGTTACTCAGTACTGTACATAAGGTCAAGTGAAAAGAAATTAACTTTGGTACAAGTAAAACAATTGACACAGGTAGTTTTAGTTGCTGAAATAAGGAGATCAGATGTCGAAAAGCTGTAAGTCTCTCACTGCCAGAACTTTTCCAAATTTTCCAGTAAATTACTATTTTGTTTCATTTCTCAGGTGCAAAGATTCATTTACTGAGAAACTGACATTATCAAGAACTCTGAAGACAGTACTAGGTATCAAAAAAATGTGCTATGCACAGTCTTCATTCAATGTTGATTAAAATTTTATTGTGGAGAGCCTAAAATGGCTAAAAAGCCTAACAAAAGGCCAAGATGCCTCAAGTCAGTAATGCTTAGTTACACACTTAAATGTTAGCTGATGTTTAATAAAAACCAAATCCAAGTTCTGTAAGTAATTTAGTAGAGTATTTTGCTGCTGATTAGAAATGGTAAATATTTGGGAGGTCTATGAATTCACAGAAGGTTGGGTGTATAGGACCTGGATAAAGAAAGCTGTTTCAGGATAAAAAAAGGAAAATACATGAATGCTGTGGAAACAACAAAGAGAATGAGATTGGTATCATGGCCTGGTACAACTTCTTTGGTAATGCATACATTACAGCACCTCAACAGCCTGTTAGAACTCAGAACTTCCACCTTATACTTCAAAACTAAGCTCTTTAGAAGTTTTGGATAACAAAGAGAAAAAATGTCCCTATTCAGTCACCTTTGACTTTTGCAGCTAAAAAGCCCAGATGTACAATCACATGTCAAATCATCCATGTTTGTCTTTGAACTACCAATATGTCCTTTAATTAATGTCAGTAAAGGCAAACATTTAGGATTCAAGAATCCTGTGCTTTTACAATACCACACAAAATTAAAAAAATATATTGTTTGTTTTTCTTCTAGCCACCAATACAATTCCATCAAATCCATGACTTTTATTGCTTTGTGGATTAGAAACATGAAGTATAAACACTTGCAGGCAAGCCTGCAGCACTGCATGTTCCTTACCCTTAGATCAATGATTCTGTTGTCCAGTCTTGTATCTTGGTTTACAGTAGCTCTTCCATCCTAAACAGTTGCACAAAAGCACATAGTGAATACACACACATCCAAAAAATAAACAAAACTAAAACTTAAAAAAAACAAAATCAATGGAAAAAAACACCCTCTGGCTAAAAGCAAAGGGTTATTTCTACATTCAGCTGAACATCTAGATCATTCTAGAAAGAACACAGAGCAAACTGGCAGCATAGAAAAGTTCAAGACGTAACTTCTTCAAAGTATAACTTCTCCCAGAGGTTACAGGCAGAACCCAACTATGAGGATGCAGCAGACACACACACAAGATTGGAAAGCCTCTGGTTTTGACCTTCGACTGCAGTTCAGCAGACATCAAAGCTATAGAGATGTTGAACACAGTTCCAGATAGCACAAAGGAAGTAAAATGCAAACTTAACAAACCCCCAGAATTACTGCATTAAAGAAGTTGCTTGGCTTTTGTGCTTTTGTTGAGCTACAAAGACAAAGAAAGCATTTGAGGACGCAAAGTTTTCACCTCCTCTCCTTCCACTTCTGGTCGAACAGCATCATCCAGCTGTAAGGGCAGCCGGGGTTCAGCTGAACTGATCACATAGATCTGAAATTGAGAGAGAACAGAAATAGCATGAGGCTCTGCTCAAAAGGAGGTGTCGTTTACAAAAGGGTATTTCTGTAGCAGAGACTTGAAACAGTGTTTGCATAGGCTACTGGCTCTAAGACTGTGATTTTATTCCAGTACTTGAGATACACTGTACATTCTCATGACAGTACTGAAGTGCTTAGTTCTTGCTTTCCCTTTGAAAGATTTGAAGTATCTTTTCTTCTTCTGGGAAACACCAAATTGAGCAAGTTCATATAGCCTGAGGGACAAGCCTTTTGGCATGAATACCAGCTCTAAATATACCAAATTTCACTGAGTTTTAGTTTGTGATTCCAGCAAGATCATCCCATTCTTCTCCTTGTTAATGTATCATTTACTTATCATCTGAATACAGCTGAAAGAGCTATTTCATATTCAAAAATTTATGAGATAACTAAAATACAATCAGAGAATGAAAACCAACTTGCTGTGCCTTATGGTCTACTATTGCTCCTAGAGGAGCAGTGAATTTGATGTTCTTTCAGAGGAATCAAGCATAGGATAATCTGCACACATATTAAAACATGTTTCTTCAAAATCTGCAGATTTTCCCCAGTGCTGTTAGCTAAGATTTACCTCACTGATATAATAGCCATTGTGCTCCAGTTCTGAGGCGACTGGGTTTCAGCTGTATTGTAGGCATACAGTTTAGTTAAAAACGTTTAGAAGAAAAGGATATTACATAAAGGTTTAAATATGCTTTCTATTTAAACAAATTATAAAGTTACACTTCCTCCAGCCCTACAGCACAAGCTCCAGGAACTTTAGATTTCAAAAGTTTCCATACTGTTAAGCCACTGAGAGTTTATTTCTGTGAGAATTATGTATTCCAGTCCATTGTATTAAGGAGAAGATTGTAACTCCGATAAAGAAGAAACTCCTGACTTGCACTTAAAAAGAAGCAGACTTTTTATTCCAGTACCTACTGCAGTTAAGAATCCAAAACTTGAATCACAAGCTTTTCTAGCCGAACTCTTCTAGAGAGATACTTTATTTTACTTGATATTGTAATTCAAATGACAGATAAAGAACAGGGAAATATAAACTCCAAGTATCTTAAAAACAGAAGTGTTTAGCTTTTACATATAAAACACTGAAATTTGTAGCTTAAAGCAGTTTAATTCTCTGACATGGGACTCCTTACTGCCAAAGTTTATGTATGTAGGCAGGCAGACAGTCTCAACAGATAATCTATCAAACAATTAACCAGTGCTCCATTTGCTCAAAAATTTACCCTCTGAACGTGAAGCTCAACGTCTTGCTGAGTACACCCTCCGATTTTCTGATATGCTTTCCTCACAACGCCTTCGATGTCCACAATGCTCTCTTTAGTGATGCTGGCAATAGAGGACAGAAGCTCAGTAAGTTCCACTGTACACTGCAGCAGCCTCAGCACTGAGCACCATTCATGTACTGTATGGGCTGCTGAACAACAGACAAGAGTCTGGAGTTACTTTTATATCTAATTACTGATTAATAAAGGAGTTTGCTGAAATAACCCCAGCCACAATGAATTCAAACTGGGATGGAAGACTTGAGAGGGAAAGAATTATGATTGAGCCGAGTGCTCGTCCATTCTCTATGTGTTGTTTATATATAAAATGACAAGTGGCAGAGCTCCTTTTCTAGGCCACAGACACTCTTATATGTGTCAGCTGATGCAATTATCTACAAGATGTGTCTTCACCAGCAGAACAACAAACTCAAGGGAAGTCCTAGGACTGAAGGGGAAAATCAAAACTAGTTCAGCTTGTTTAAACTACATGACTTGTGACTGAAAGATGCAAGATGCTCCAAAGTAATTTCTCTGTGACAGGGGACATCCTAACTGCTCCCCAATAACAGTCACTAATAGTACATTAGAACACCACACACCATCCTGAAAGTCTTCCAAAGATATGATATAAAGTATATGTACTATAAGCAAACAATAACAAAAGCCTCAAGAGTCAGAGGTGAGAAAAGAATTTGTATGGGCAGTTTTTATTTATGCATTCTAGGTACTGGAGTTTAAACCCAACACTTTTCTACAGATAATCTTACCCTCACTGGAAATATATTTTCACTCTGTCTCTCTGTTAGCTTACAAATATCTAAAAATATTAACTTTCCTTTTAAGGAAAATTAATGTTCCAATTAATCTTTCACTTGTGAGTCCTTCTTGAGAAAGCTGAAAAGCATTTTATGTACAGCACTTGACCACCTAAGACCTTAGACAGCAGGAAAGTATCAGGCCCCACAATTTAACTGCAAACAATAAGAGGTGAGTGAGGATGTCATCAGACAAGCTAGCCACTGCAAAAAGCAGCAAGAAAAAGAGCCATTAACAACCCTTAACTTTGCAAGGCTGGCACTTTTTTTACTTTTAATAAAAATCTTGAAAAATCTTATGATATTAAAGTAACAGTGGAAAATTCAAGAATCAAATTCCCAAAACCTAACAGTGGCACTATAAGTATATTCCAATTGACTAAAAAAAAAAAAAAAAACAAAAAACCGCCAAATTTGAGTATTTTAGCTGATTATACTTTTTTTATGGTAATACTTTCAAGTGATAGAACTTATTAGCTGCTCTAAAGTTAATAAAGACAAGGGTGGTTCATATGCTTGACGTGCTTAACCATCAGGTAATTCCACATATTGCATTAAATTAGTGAACAGCATGTTCTTCTGGTACATTTACACTTTAGAAGAGCTACAGCTGCTCAGATCACGACTAAATCTGTACAAAGCAGAGGCTTGAGAGCAGGCTTCAAATAAGAATCCATTTAGTTATGGGTGAGCCTTGAGCCTCCATCACCATTAGTTCAGCAGAGGCAACAAATATGAGAAAGGATAATTGAAATGACACCAAATGCTTCCAAGTACTTTCTATTACAAATGATTCTGTTTGAAACTTTTCACACAGACTGTGGAACCAATACAGTGCTTAGGATGCAACAGAGCATGATTATCTAGGAGAATATATGATGCTAAACCAGTATTAAGTGTAACTATAAATTCCCTTTGCTTTTTGAATGCGTGAATGTTTAACAGAATAAACTTTTACTCTTATGCAAACTTTTTTTTCCCTAAAAATTTCTATTTTTCCTGCTTCCTTTTCCATGTCAGCATTTTGGCAAATGTCCAGAAAACACCACTAATGACATGACTAGCACTGTCTTCACTGAAAATACCAGTTTTAATCTGCTGAATAAAAACCTTCTCAGTAATAACAGCAAAGAATGTTTTAAACTTATTGAAGGAAATCCCGTGTGCTGTGAAAAGAAAAACAGTAGTTAAACATAAATGTGCTGTAAGGATTCATAATTAGATTGGTGATCCCATGGATGAGAACTGTTAGTCAAGTCTGTACATAGCTCTGATCAGTACATGCAAGGAATTTAAGATATGCAAAATTGTCTCAGGTTAAAAATACAGGAAGAAAGTGACTTTTGCATCACTGTAACTGCAATGTTGCTTTGCAAACTTGCATAACTACAACTTTGCACATAGTATAAATTGAGCTTTCTCTCCATTTCTACACAGGAGTTGCAACTAAAACATGTTTCTTGATCTGGAACATATTTAAAACTGTAGCATTTCTTAGTCATTACATTTGCCATAATTTTAAGATGCATTTCAACTGACTTCCTGTGTAGGTCTCTGTAACCAAATAGTCAAGTAATTGCCTGGGCACACAAAAGCACTAGGAAGGGTCCTACTGCATGTGATCATCTTTGTATTTATAAACCTCCATCATCTCCTCTACATTTCATTTGATAATTAAAAAATGTGCTTTTCCTCATTTCAACTCCACATTTAATCCAGTATGGAAATAAAAGCTTGTGTTTTGAGTTCTGTTTGAACCATGCTAAGCAAGACCTAGAGCTACAAGTGTCTGAAGTCCATAACACTGCATCAAACATAAACTACAGAAACCTGGAAGGTGCTTCTTTGATCCCAACAGGTATAATTCCAAGGATGTTACTGAAAAGGCATTTTTAGTTCAAGTTACAACAAGGAACAAGATGCTCTATAAAATGCCAGTAACTACAGCAAAGCATTCTCCACAGCAGCAGGAATAAGTCATCTAGGTAATTTTTATAAAATTCCCCTGGGTAACAAAAAACCCCCGAACGCCAACAAAACTGAACAAATAGCAGAAAAACATGCCAAAATGCCACTATTTCCATTAAGGACAACAACATTTACACATGTAATTAATATTACTGGGAACTAGAAACTAAAGTAGGATGCATAAGGCATTAAGAAAAGACAGATGACATCTTTACATTGTTTAATCCAAAAAGAAACTATTTAAGTATATAGACTCATGAAGTCCAACAATAAAAAAATTCTCTGCATAGGAAACTACTTTGTATTTTCTCATGTTCAAAAAAATCAAGATTATAATATCTAAAGTGTCCACTAGATGCCTTATGTCCCTCTTAATTAGCTGCACGTCTATTAGCCAAGACTTTCTCTTTTAACCACAGGATTGCATTCTTGCAGTATTTATAACAACATCTTTCATCAACAGCTTTGTGTTGCAAGCTGAACCCTATGCTGGCCTCCCAAAGTGAATGACAATCAACATTTTCTTGGTCAAAAGCCCAAAGAATAGGAAGAAAATTGGTTATTTACAGATTTTAAATAGAAAATGCTTACTTCTTCTATAACATCTATAATTATTCTGGCATTTTGTTGTTTTATCTTCAGCACCTTTCTGTAGGCAGGCAGCACAAATTATATTAACACATTACTAAATGAAAAATATTAAATAATTGTCTTAATACATAATGATCCTTTATCTGAATGCCAGTGAAAATGAAGGCAACTATTTACTTTCAAAAAATTAGTGTATTTTTTAAGTAGTTAAGAGTATAAACATTTTGTATTCAACAAGAACAACTGTAATCCTGTCTGCACAAATATAGCTAGTATGCATGATGCTCCCTGAAAGGAAAATATCTGACACTGCATACAAAAATGCCACGTAAACACCTGATCTTATTCTCTTCATTCTAAAAATGTAATGATTGGTTTCCTATACCAACATTCTAACACTTGGTTTAACCTGGATAACTTTTGGGGAAAAAAAGAGGCCAATCTGCTTTTAAAGCTTTTAAGTAACAAAATTCACCATGCATTTTTAGTAATTTTCACTAAAAAACCCTATACTTTATTTCCTTTCTAAATTCCCCTAATTTCATCCTCTGTTCATTGCATCCTGTCATACCTTTGTATCTGCAATGTATAGAAACCCTGCTGGTAGAAAACCTTGCACAGAAAACCACCAGACTGGGATTTAAATCACCCACTAATTTCTCAGGAGAGAACAGAGTTTTCTTTAGTCTCACAGAAGGCAGATTTGTCTGACCATGTATCATTTCTTCTTGCAACTTCACCATCAACCTTTTCCAATCTGAAGTGTATTCGGATACAAAGACAACAAAATTAGACAAAATATTCCAGAACTGCCTAAAACCAGACACATACTACATTAATGCTATTTTCTAGAAGTCAGAGAACTGCATGGGTTCCTGTCAAGTCAGTTATCTATCACAATCTCACATTTCTCTCTGCATTCTTCTATTTTTTAATCCTGAACACCCACAAAATCTGACCAAACAAACACAAAGGTACAAATTTACACTGAAGAGCATCGAAGTGATTATTCTAAATGAACACTGGTTACTACACACTCCTGAGTCCCTATTTACCAGTCCAATTTTTGTGTCACCAGCAAACTTAGCTGCAATTTGACATTTTCTTCCCATCTTCTGATATAAAAATTAAACAGAAATGGATAAAGAAAACATTCTGCAATATCCCTCAGTCTTCCTGGTACTACCAATTTATCTAGCTAAAGAACTTACATATATTTTTCTACACTGTGAATTATTTTCATACAAGTTAGCCATTTTCCCCCCCTCCATTTTAATCTCTCTCCTGCCTTTTTACTCTTCAAACTCCTACAAAGAGCCCTCAAGTTACTTCCTGTGCAAGGGCAAAATTTTTGAGCAGCTGAATTAGAATCTGTTAAGCACCTCTCTCAACTGCTCTATCAGCTCACGTGGCTCTGGCAGAGGGGTGGTGGGAAAGGCTCAATGCTAAGACAGAAAAGGAGAAAGAAAACCAAAACCAGCCACACCCCAGCTTGATGGAAAAAAGCAGGTTGATGAATTACTAAGATAAATTACTAACTGGTACGTCTGCTGTCTAAAAGGGACAATTAAGTGTTTCTCTTATACAGCACCCCTTGCAGGACCAAGTTGAACTGTTTTTTCTGATAAAAGATATAAGAACAATTCCACAGCTGTCAATTCAGAATCTCAACTGCCTCTGTTTTATGTTTGTTTTGGAAGTTCAGCTTGAAAGTTTCCATGGTTAAACTCACAGGCATTTCTTTGTAAACCTGAGTTGAACCACTATAAAGTGTCTTTCACTAAAAACTCACATTCTAATGATGATTGTGGTAATTACTGTATGAATGTTGCTGACCACAGAACATTATGAAAGTTCTTGGTTTCCATGTGCCAATATCTAAAAGAGGAACCAGTCTGTTTATAATTTATGAAAGTATGAAAAATGCTCATTATTTAATCAACTAAAATTAAAAATTCAAGATCCAGAATTTTACAAAGTATTTTCAACAAAGTTGTAGACACAGTATGAAAGTAGCACATAGAAAATATAGTTTATATACTATACATATACAGTGAAAACATTTAGAAATTTAATTGAAATTTAAGATATTTGAGTTAAATGTTTTCTTCAATAAATGTGTATTTCCTCATTTAACATGTAGGAAATGAGATGATAAAAAAAGACACTGAGAAAAGCAGGGAAACAGGATAATTATTTTTAGACATCTAAGCCCAGCCTCATCTGCTAGAAATAATGGGATCACTCCAGAGCAGGTGAAAGGCAGCAGGGAAGTGACTGAGGACAGGCACGTACTGGAGATCTGCTTCAGGTGCTGCTGACATAGTGACCCCATGTGCACTTACCAGGCAGGGAACAGCAGCAGCCTCTAAGGCAGCTGCAGTGCCAGCAGCAGACAGAATTGTAGGAGATGAAACACTGGAAAAAGTGAGAGCATGGCAGGATATTAATAAAATAGGTTTGTTGGTGGGAAGGAATCCTGAGAAGATGACTGCACTAGTTAAAAAAACTAAAAGCAAACCCCCAGAAGAAAATCCAGAAGGCTGTAACAGTTACACCACTCAGAGAACATGATGATGAGCATGTAATCATTCAGAAGCACAAATAATAAGGGAAACATGAATGCTACAAAGTAAGTGAGGCTGAAGTACCAGGATTTGGCTCGCAAATGCTATCCCAAAAAAGGAGCACAAGGAAAAGTCAAAACACAGTACAAACATCATCAGTCTGGCTACTCTGAGGAATTCAAGTCTGTCTCATCAAGAAGGAAGATGACAGGGAGTTGGGAAGAACCTATGGATGAGGTGATGAGGTTCTGCCTGATTGAACAGCTCACTGCTGCCAGAAGAGAAAGGAGCTTTACCCGCTACTGTTTCCAGATACCCTCTTCCACTGTTTACCATTCCTTTTTAGCTCTGGACCTCCATCACCTGATTTAAATCACTAATCTGGCAGAAAACTAATGGAGTAAAAAAAGGCCAGTGAATCACAAAAAACTATCACAGGTTTATAAGTGGCAGTCAGCATACAGAAAAAATTAAGTAAAGACCAGCTTCCCTTTCATGAGCTCCTAATCACAAAGATCTGCCAATCATGAAGTATAAGAAATTTAGCTGTGGAGGGAAGTACCACGAAGAAAAAGAGAGATATTGGAATATCTCCTTTTTTCAGAGAACAGTGTGCATCACAACTCTTAAGAGTTCCACTGTTCAGAATAGAATAGAAGAGTGTGCATCACAACTCTAAGAGTTGTTCAACTGTTCTGTAGCACAAGTTTCTCGAGGGAGTACAGGCCGACTGTTGGGAGTTTTGAGGGAGATGAATTAGGGAACAAGTACATTATACACTTAATTCTTTTCAGAGATTCCAAGCACTGAAGGGAACAAATCATTTAATGAAGAAACAGAACACTTCACTTTGGCTCATAAACACCTGTGAACAGCATGTTTCACACTGGCACTGCCAGCACTGAGCACCAAACAACAAACACTGCTGGTTCTGTTTTCCTCTTGCCTTGAACCCCATCAGCAGAAGCATTATCCCAACCTTCTTAACTTGGCTTCTAGAAGTCTCTACTATAATGAATCTTTCCCCTCCCTGACATATTGAAGGTTGAAGGCTGTAGCACTTTTGCAGATAATTAGTGGGGGCTCCCTTCCCAGGCATGAGAGGATTGCCAAGAACTCCACAGAAGCAACTCGAGTACCACATGCTAAACATATTCTGCACCAAATAAACTGCACAGAATTGATCCACATTTCTATTTGTGAACAAGTGGGTAGACATGATTAAAGCTCTACTATAAAGCACGTTTGTCACACAAGCATATTTATTACAGGACAACCTGAAAGCAAAATCTGGAGGCAAACAGAAGGGAAAGGTCATTTTTTATCTTTAGGAACAAAACAAACCAAATAACTGAATTCAAATTGCTGCAACAAACATTTTTTCAATTGGCAAGTCTAACTATTACCCCGCCAAATCATTTTTAATTGAAAGTGTAGATAAGACTAACCCAGTGCACAGAAGCTACTTTTTATTTCTTCAACTCAGTAAGCCACTTGCAATATGGGACTTCTTCACATCAGTTCCAAGTACAAAATGTAGTACTACACTGCATGTCTGGTAGAAGAAAAACACTGAACATGTGCAGACACACAGCACCACCATACACCAAATGAAGTGTCCCACTAAGCTCAGCTTGCCAGACTTTTTGTTAGCCAGCTTGGAAGAAAATGTAGGTTGTCTATGGCAAGAGAATGCTGCTTCAGCAGTTCAGAATGAATTTCAAGCCTGTTCTCTATTTTATCTTTTGTCAGTATAATGTATTCAACGCAATGGAGAGCTGACAATTTAAATAACTACATTTTAAAACAAACGAAGCATTGATGTTAATGTGTGAAAATGGTCCCAACCCCTGGGAGTCCTGGTTCCCACCATTGTTTACTCTGACAACAGGATATAATTGCTTACTTACTTGGCAGCAAACTTTACCATCTGCTTGCTTGCATGCTGTCCCACAGCCACAAGAGCCTGGATATTAAACTGCTGCTGACGCAGGACTAAGAAACACTGCTTCCCTGAATACAAAGAGAAGCAACACAGGTGTATTAAGGACAAGTTACTCGAGGTCTTTGTGAATGAGAAAAAATTCTTTACTACTTAAATATAAACGGAGCTTTTAAGACTGCATCTCTCTCCCTCATTCATAGCTGCCCTCCCTCCAAAAAGCTGCTTCAAACTCCTCAGCTGTGCATGTGCACACACACACAAACATTGAGATAAATAATTGTGCCTTACATCTCTAAACATTTGAATGGTCATTTTCTAAAAATAACAGTAAGCCTTCCAAGATAAAGAATATTTAGACAAAACAACAAATCATAACTTTTAAAGTAACTTTTCCTTCAAATGCAAGAAATACATAATCCTTTTCCTTGTTTCTTTGCTCATAAGTACTTCAAGTCTAAACTATTTTTAAAGAAGTTTTTTCTCGTCTTCTCAAATCAAAGCTGTAGAGTTTACAAAGCTGCTCTGAGAGAACTGGGCTTGACTTTGCACCACAAGGACTAAACCAACAATGTTCATTCTATAATACACCACACATTCAGAATGAAGGGGAACAAAAGGAGTATTGATTCTAGTGAATGACAAGAACCTAAAAGACCCAATTAAAAATTCCTGTAAGAGCAATGTATTCATGAACAGCTTAGGGAAAAAGAAGTTAATAGGAATTAATAATAAGGTACAAAGAATATAGTGCATTTTGTTGACTTTTAAAATGGGTATTTCCAAGTCAACAAAAATCTTTCTAATCTGTTTAGCTGACAGTTACAAAAAAAAAAAAACATTTCATACTTCTCACATCTCTAATAATCATTTATCCCTTAACTTAGTTTTAAGGAAATATGGTGATTTGAAATGCTTCTTCCTAGAGAGAAATTAACAACAAACATTTCACTGGTGTACCAGTATCTGATAAAGGCACCAATCACTTTAACCCCAAATTCTGACTCAAAATGTCTTAACATTTCCATTGAAATGCTGAGAATAGGAAGAAGCCAGAATTTTGTTATAGACAGCTACTTCCCTGTTGTTCCTGATTTAAACTCTAAATCAACAAGCCAACACATACCTAACATGAAAGCTGACGCTAAAAAGCCAGTTGCAGTTTTCATTTGTAATTATGCAGATTACCATTCCTGACACATAGCTACAGAAAAGAGCATCAGAAAATAAATGCAGAACCCTTGACACACGATCTCATGGAAATAAAAGCAAACATACAAAACTAGTACAAAATATTATTAAATATGAATTATATTTATTGAAAATAACTTATCTTGTCCTACAACAAAAATGCAACAAGATTAATTACATATTTTCAGAAAACAGAGTACAACTATTTCTGTACCCCAGAGGCTGGAATATCCAATATGGCTCAGATGCACATATTTCTTGCAGGCAAACATTAAATAACAGATTTAAATTACAAAAATACAGGCTGTTTCAGATCCAGCAAGTCAACAAAGAAAGTACAATATGATATGCTGAGGTTTCTTCAGATAAGGGAGTCATATCTCACATTTTTGACATCTCAGTGTTTCTTACAGTGTGGTTGGATACAGTATTTCCTAGGAAATAGTATTTGTCTTCACGATTTTAGTAACAAACAATTTAGCAAAATATGATCAAAGTTGCAGCATTAATGTATGAGGTGCTCAAACAAAAAACACACAGCTGAAGACAGCCAGGATGTAACTCAACTACAAGACAGGGAAGTAATGAAACGACCTGCTATCACAGAGTAGTTTGGGTTAGAAGAGACCTTTAAGGGCCATCTAAGTCCAATCCCCCGCAACAAGCAGGGACATCTTCACCAAGACCAGCTGGCTCAGATCCTCATCCAAAAGTCTGGCAGTTGTACTTAATCCCAAACACTGGAAGTCTGATGAATATCTGCATTATAAAAGGACTCAAATGTCTCTGCCATGAGTAACAGTAGCTGTTTCCATGAAGGAAGAGGATGTTTTGCAGAACACAACCATTTCTAATCACACAGAAGATAAGTGATCAAACGGACCTCACTCACAGCACTGGTTAAAATATCCCAGCCACAAAGATTAAAAGAGGGAAGAGAACTTTTCCTGAGAGCTGAAGGCATTCAAAATAAAGTATCAAAAAGACCAGCCATAATCAAATCTAGCTCATGCTTATAAGTCTTTCCAGATCAAGGGATGCGTAAAAGGAAGCATTTGAGTAAGAAAAAATTTGGACAATGGGATCTTCGCCATGTGTTTCAAAATACTTATGTGGTGTTTAGGTGAGAGGTATAGCAAGAAATTTACTCACTTTCAACACGAAACTACTCTAAGCTTCTATTAAAAAAACATGTCCCACAAGAATGCATAAAAGATAAAAAGTTTCAAAAGAAATTTGGTTAAAAACATCTGACACAGTAAAATGCATAGAATGTTCAGGCACTGAGTAAGAGAATTCCCTCAAAAAGAAGCACATCAAGACCTTATGAAAGAAAAGGATATAAGGAAGTAACGAATATGAAGAATAAAAAAAAGTTGGTTATATAAATTAAATGATGGTTACATAAATTTGCCAGCAAAGAGAAGACTCTACATGGCTTATTATAAAATTTGATCCAGTATTTAAATTGATCTTGGTGGAATACTTATTTTTAGATGTTTCATAGACCTTTGGATTCATAACCCAAAATCTCTTTCAGGTCTAACATTCTGTACAAGCACCAGCTGCCTGGCCAAACCCAGACCAATTTCCCAAGGGCTTTTCAATGATAAATGTGATTAGTAGATTAGGCTGGCTTTAAAATAAGGCCAGAAATAACATTTATTCAATCTGTGATACAAACCACAGGGCCCTGTGCACTTCAATTTTAGTACAACCCACAGAAATTCCCAACATCCCATTCTTTACACATCCTTCAGTTAATTTCCATCATACTTTATGAGTGACTTGCTATAGGAGACAGCTGGAATCTGCAGTTGTTCCCATTAATTTTGTTTGGTTTATTGGTCAGAACCGGACAGGGTTAAATAAAGGCTACATTGGTTATTTAGGAGTCAAATTCAAGTTTCTGAGAAAAACTAGAGCTTGTTTTTGTGAATGATTTTCCTGTTTCCTGCAAGGCCTTCCTTTCCACAGTGGTACGAATAGTGCCTTGCTGTGTGTGGGAAAGGCTAATATTACTTTCTACTCTTAAACATTTGCTTTTCTTGTAAGATTCTTTCCCCAAAGCTTAAGTAAACAAGCATATGGCATTCCCTAGCAGCACTCCCTGAATGTCAGAATTGTTCTGTGCTGTCAGACCAAGAGGAAGCAAGAGACACTATCAATAAATTCAGATCATTCATGCCCATGATCAATTCCTTTTGCTTTCATTCTTCAGGTTGTGTTAAAGAGTTTTGAAAATAAGCATTCAAAACATCAGAAATAGAATAAAGGATTACAACAGCATCTTTCAAGTTCATATTGTCTTCTTACAGAGATGTTACTGAGTTTGACATCAATGTATATACGATTCCACATATCAATGTAATACAGAGAGCAATCAACAACCACAGAACTTTACACTGCTTTTCATATGCTTTTTGCATAGATAGCTGCTTCTAATATCCTGAATTCTGTTAATAGCCTCAACTCTTCCTATAATCGCAAAAAAAAAAAAAAAAAGCCATAATGATAATCTAATTTATATAATGATAGTATCAACAGTAACATTTAAATCAGATGAAGTGTCTTCTGTCTGAACAACTTCACGATGTAATAACCACGACTTTCACAGCTTTTGGAGCTGACAATTTCTTTAATTAACTGAGAGTTTTACATTACAAAATTACTGAGGAAATCACAGAGAACTCCTTAAGTTTAAAGATTCTAACATACATTAAAATATGCATCATATGTATATATTTTAATGCAGTTCTTTATTTTAACCGACTGCACACAGACACTCATTAAGACAGACATGTTTTAAGAAAATGAATTTTCAAAAAGATAAATGAATCTGGTATATTTGATGATATTCTGTACTGGATTCTCACCCCTAATTTGCATCATTCCAAATTTTAAGACTACTGTTAAGTTTCGTTTGTAAAGATAATTTCTTCATGCCCCTTTTTTTTTTTCAATTCTTGGAAAGACAAGTTATTTATATCTACAGAGCTGCCAAACATAACTGAAACCAGCACAACAGTTGTCAGCATCTGATGTCAACTGCAAAGGCCAAAGCCTATTGAAGTTTGCATATGGCAACCTGGTCTCCAGAGGGAACTTCTGATTCCAGGGAAGAAATATGGCTGTCAGACAGCCAAGGGTGACAGCCCACACTGCTGAGAACCTACAAAAGGGTTTCCCTTTTGTCTCACTAAAGAAAGATGATGCTACTTATTTGAAGTCCAAATTGATATAATTAGATAAGGCAATCGAAAGTAAGAATCCTGAAATTTTATCAGATGTTTCCTGTCGAAGAAAAGGTGTGGTGAAAATATACATGTACAGCAGAAGAAATACGACTTGTCTGATAATGGATACATTCATAATACAAGTATGTTTTACTGCAGAAGTTTAAGTATTTTCTCTCACAACTATTAACACCTTAAGGAGAATTATGACATTTTAAAATCATTATTATTTAAAATTGTCCATATATTATTTAGCAATACAGTTAGAAAAATCACTGTAACTACAGTAAGTGATTTCCACACAGCTAAAACCAAAATCTTCTTTTCCCTCTTGGGAAAAAAGAGAGGTGGAGAAAGAAAAAAGAACCAGTCAAAGTAACACTGAGGCAACCCTGAGTAACCAGGTGGCAAAGTTTTCTTGAAGGCAAGACATAACCAACAGGCCATTAAATCAAAATAAGCATTAAGGTTGTAGTAATGAAGCAAGGAAATAAAACAAAAGACCCTGGAGGCCTCTCACCTTTAGCTCTGCTGGTGTGAATTCTGCCACGAACCCAAACCTCTTCATCAGCTTTCTCCAATGTCAAGTCTTTTACACGAACCAAAACTCTATCTGAATTACAGAAAAAAACCACACATCTTAAAACAGTTTTTCACTTTAAACTCCAAATGCACTTTCTATCATTGCTATTGATAAAATTGATAAAAAATCCAAAACATTGGTTTTTCTATCAATGGCATAACCAACTTACTGAAAACACACAAAATCCCATTTCCTTTCTTAGTGACTTGTACTTGATGCAGTAGCTTTAAATTGTTCATTTCTGACTTCCCCAGCAGGGTCAAACTGCACTTTACCAACAGCAAGAATCACTGTAGTTCATGGATGACAGAACCCAGCATGACTAAACTGGTTTTGATAGGGCTTCACTGTACTACCTGCACTTGTAGTTTTGCTGCCTAAGGGATGTGTGCCCTGCTGCACTGTGCAGCGTCAAAGCTGCCATGCTGAACCCAGCAAAACAAAGGCTCAGAGGGGATGTGACTGCTTTCTGTATCTACCATACATAAGTAGGATAAATATAACTGTAAAATAACTATTATTTAAAATAAAGAACAGAAAGAAACCACAAATAAATGTACATTATAAATTTTAAAATATTTATTTTGATTAAAGCAACAGCATTTTGGAGCAATGACAGTATTATTGTATAAATGGATAACATCTGTTTTAAGAAAATCTCTTTGACAACCTGATCAAGCACTACCATCACTGTCAGAGCCAAGACTGGATCAGAAGAATCCTTCAAATCCAACGTAGCTGCAAAGCTAGATAACAGGAATGCATGGGTTGGAAAGACAGATTTTGGATATCAAAGGGGAAAAAAATTGATCAAGGAAAATATTTTTAAATAAATCAGGACTTTAAAAATTCTATACAACCATTATGAACTAGCAATATGCTGGGTGCATGCTGCTATTCCTTGCATGATTCTTTCCTCACAAAATTCTCCCTCGTTTCAAAGTGACATTAAATTTGCTAAGACACTCACACTGTAGTCTATTCCTGACAGAACTTTTCTAAAGTTTTGGGAAAAAAACCAACTTTTGACTGCTCAGGATTACCATCTGCTGCTCTGGACTCCCTCCTTCTGTCTCTGAATACCAGTCACAGCTTGCCCTGCAAGCCTGTTATTCTGCACTGGGGATTTTAGGGGATTGAAAACTTTTATTAGCTTATGTCAGAGCAATGCAGTTCTTTCTTCACAGACACATATCAAATCCAGAACATAATGGAACATTTCTCCTGTCACAGAGAAATGTTACAGAAAATTGACTCAAAAATATATTCATAAAGTGTGTATGTATGTGTGTGTGGGTCTGCTGGGGAAGGTAGAAATGGGAACAAAGATGTTATCCTTTGCCAGCAGTTTCTGATATTCAAACTGTGTGTAGTACTATAGAAACATTCAACCATCAAAATCTGTAACCTTCACTATTTCTAAGACCTTGATATTCAGACAGTTAAAACTACCTCAGTCAACTTGAGACTGTATTGTTACAAAGTTAAAACATTTTCCAGAAGCATAAAGACAGAAGGAGATGTCACACCTTTCCTGGATTCTTAGCGTTTCAGGAACCATCTACATTAGATAAATATTTTTTAAAGTATTTTGGATACCTAACAGTTCATGTCTCACCAAGGGTAAAAAAGACATATTTAACACATTGTCAAATGTTATATGGTATTAATTATTAAAAACTATTTCACCTTTCATAAAAAGAATAATAAACAATATCCACAAAGTGACATCATAAAGCCCTTTCTTCCAAGAGTAGATCACATAATCACAGAATGCCTGAGGCTGGGAGGAGTCTCTGAAAGTCATCCCACCCACCACCATGCACAAGCAGGGTGATATAGAGCCAGCTGTCCAAGATCATGTTCTGACTTTTTTTAGTATTCTCAAGAAAGGAAACTCTTCCTGGGCAACCTGTACTAATCCCTGGTCACCCTCACAGGAAAAAAAATAAAAATCCTGATGTTTATTGTGCCCATTGCCTCTGTTCCTGTCACTGTGCTGCACTGCAATGAGCTGGATGTAGCAACTATGCCACTTTGCTTCCCTCCTCTGACACTTCCCAAATCTAATTCTTTTTTCCCTTAATGTATAGCCCAATCTCTTCTTTCCGACACACTAAATATCCTTCTTTTTTCTCTCAGAATTCCAACCTCTTCTAAACATGGGAGGAGAGGATAAAAGTCCAAAAAGCTGTGTGGAATACATAAAACAACACTTTTTCACCTCCAGACCCCATTCCCTGCCTGTCACATCAATCTGTTTACTAAGATAATTTATCCTGCATCATGGAATTTAGAACACTATGATCAATATTTGTGCTGTCTCTGTGAAGTGCCAGCATCTTCAAAGTACTGGAAAAATTTGAAAAAGAGAAGGCAAGCTTGACATAAAAACCTGAAAATCAAAAGGAGTATTAGATGAAAGTAGATTCCAGGGAGGGGATATGAGATAACGGGTGTGAGGGGAGAAAAAAGAAATGGCCAAAAATGGAGTTTTACTAGCAATCATAGTCTCAAGCACACAGGAAGGACTTAAAGACCTTACATGACAAGAGGCAAGAACATCAGAGAGCCAGGGCAGCCAACATAAGCAGAACAAAGATTTAAGCGGGCCAAGAAAGAAGGCATAGATGTGTGTGAGCTCAGCAGAGAGAGGTGGAGAAACAAAGTTGTGAACTTGAGAAAAGTTTTAATTTGCCTGCAGAGGAACAAGAATCTATCAATATGGCAAAAGGACAACAAGCTTACTCCTTAGAAAAGAAGATAACTTGTTCTGATCACTGTAAGCTGTGTGAGTACCCTGTACAGCCAGTGATTCCAGGACAGTGCAGCAACTGGAGTAAGCAGAACAGCAGCACTCCTACAGCCCACTCTGAGTTGCCAGCCAGGGCTGTGCTGTGCTGGCTCTGCCCACCAGATGCTGTCACACCTCATACCACCATGGGCTACTCTGATTTAGAAATGGCAAGCAGACTTCAGAGACTTCACAGAGACTTCAGAAACAAAATTAATACACTTCAGATAGGAACATGCCTATCTGTGCTTCTCCACCACTCCCTGTCCCAAGCAGAAGCTCCTCCAAGGCACCCAAGGCAAGTAGAATACTTTGGGGAGCTACTGATGACAAACAGTATCTCATCCTCTTGTGAACCCTTTGGCAAGAGCTCTCCCTGGCAGAAACTATTGAATCTGCAAAGAAAAGTGCATTAGTCTCAAGGAAAGGACCAGGTTGATCTTCAGCTTGTTTGTTAGACACATTTTGTTCTTCATTGTTATCTAGTTTTTGGTGTTCTGGATAACCACCTTCTAAAATTACAGAACAACAGGAGTGCTGTAGATTGCATTTTAAGCCAAATGGAAAACTCACTCAACATTGCCCACACACTGAGAAGTTCTTTAAACAAGAATGAAAGGTCAAGGAGACCACACAACTAAATACTACACTCAGCCTTTTTAATATAATTTTCTGTAGCTTTCATCATTTTCCTTCTCAACATACTTTTTTCCCCAGTACTTTTAAGTGTTTCTTTTGAATGAGACAGTTGGCATTTGCCCATGAAAGCAGGACTTGATCTGCCATCTCAATCTGCCATCTCAGGTCCCCCACACAGTTGTTTCCTCTGGGAGGTGAATTCAGGAGAGGAAACACAGAGCTGGGCTGCTTCCAGCGTGATTCAACTCCAGTTCCTAGCCCTAGCTCTGGCAGCTAGGATGGATTGCATTCAACAATGACTGCTAATGCAGTCTGCTGATTTTCTTGTCCCGTTACATTCTGATATAAAGCTCCCCTTCAGTTTTCAACCTATGAGTGCTCTTGTGACTGCTTCTCTTCCCTACATTCTGCATTTTCCTTCCTAAATGGGCATCAACCAAAACAAGCACTCAAAGGAGAAAAAAAAAAGAATCACCTAATCACAGATGATCTTCCTGTTTTACATTTTATTATGAAGAAGTTACAAGAAGCCAGTCTGTTACTTTCCCTCATTACCGTTTCATGCACTGAATTTAATACAAAGATTAATATTCCTTGGCATATTGGCCTGGGAGATTGTTGTCTAGCTGCTAAGTTTTCCTGAATCCCAATGCCCCATCAGGAGAAAATCAGGATTCCCTGAATTCAGAGATATGACTGATTAAAACCCATAAACACTAATATCCAATATTAATGGATTTGCTGCCCATATACAGGAGAAATGGAAGGGTGCATAAGCAAACAGATCATACTCAGAGAGCACTGCTCTAGTAAGTCACAGCAGAACTTACTCCAAGTACAGAAAAATATCTGACATCTCAGGACTCAGTACGTTATAATTCACAATAATTTAGTACTTTTTAAAACAGTCTGCAGTGATGGACAGACACAAAACTAACAGACTGCTTAAGGCACGGTGCAGGCAAGAGCAAAGATTGAGATTCCTCTCAATCCAGAACTGAGCTCCAATATTCAACCACACTCACGATTTTTTTTTCTTCTCTCCAATCTCAATTTCCTGTTCTGACTTGTGTCCATGACCTCCAGTCCAATTACCACACGCCGTCAAAGACTGGCCTTATCTTTCCTACACCCTCCCATTAAGTAGATTTAAACTATAAGATCATCCCACAGCTTCCTCTTCTCCAGGCTGAAGAAGCCCAACTCCCTCAGGGGCTGTGCTCTAGTCCCCTGGGCAGCATGGTGGCTAACCACTGGACTGGCTCCAAAATGTTAATGCCTTCCATGCACTGGAGAGCCCAAACCTGGACATGGCACTCCAAATGCAAGTGCCTCACAAGTGCCAAATGTATCCCAATAAAGGAGAAAAATACCACTGGGATTTGAATGAAAAAGTTTGGTAAATGATTTCTCAAGGAAGTACTGAAGGTTTTTATTTGATAGGTAACTTCTTTTTCCATCTTTCCCACCCCCTCTCTTGCAAAACTTTTTTATTTTTCAACTAACCTGGTTTCTCTTGGGATTGTATCATTGATGACACTCCATATCTTTCCTTAGCATAATCCTAGAATGGAGGTGAGAAACATATATCAAAGAAGCACACACAAAAAGAACTGAACATCATCATCACAGAGTTAACTGAGGGAACACAAAATAATTAACAATAATATTTAAAAAATGCATTCTGGACTCATAAGAGATACACAAGGGAGAGAAGAAAATTGTGCCCTGGATGAAAAAAAAAAATCAGCAACAGCAGCCATGCATGACAATCACTACTCGTTAAACAGAAAGTTAATGTGATTATCTCTACAAACAGCCTACTCCTCAAAATATATTTGAGTCCTACATTAGATAGATTAAATATTTCCTTTCCATATTCAGGCACACTGAATTGTTACAGGCTGGTGGAGCTTAACTGTTAATAAAATCTGCCAGGTACAGCACAGAGGAAGGCAATTTTCATCAAAATATCACAATTCAAATTTCCCATTCATTTCCAAATAAAACCCCTTGATTTATTCATTTTATTCTATTCAATACATGAACCAAAGTTCCTACAAAATACTTTATTTGGGGATGGTCTTTGTTTGTCTGCTTTTGCTGAATTGTGGCATATTTGTAACTTTAGGGAAGCCACCAACACTTGGGAATTCCTTATCGCTGATGCAACAATAAGCACAAATTATAACAAAATGAACTGATGCTCATTGTTAGTACATTGTTCTTCTTGAAGAAGCATCGGCCTACATTTTTTCAGCACTGCTCTACGATCTTCAGGTACAAGGCAAAAGCACCTGCCAGGCCAGCAGGAGCCTCTGCAGAAACCTGCTGCTAGTGAGGAGCAGCCCAGGTGTTTCTGGGGGGAGTGGAGCTCTTCAGGCAACCACAGCCGAAGGGGGAGTGGGGGGACAGGCAGGGTAGAGCCAAAGGCAGCTGCGCCCCCGGGCTCGGCCAAACCCTGCCCGGGCTCGGCCAAACCCCGCCTGGGCCCGGCCCCCCACCCCGGGGAGCCTCAACAGCGCGCCCGCCGCGTTCCCTGCGGAGACCCACATCAGCCGCCGACGAGTCCTCGTTGTCCGGGCGGCGGTCCTGGCCGTGCCCGCGGCCGGCGGCGCTCGGCATCCTGCGGCGGCGGGCGCGGCCCTCACGGCCCCTCACGGCCCCTCACGGCCCCTCACGGCCCCGCACGGCCCCGCACGCGCCACGCCGCTTCCGCGCGCCCGCCTCTCGCGAGAGCGCCGCGCCGCCCCTGCCCCGCCCGGCGCCGGCCGAGCGTATCGCGAGAGCTGCCCCGGCGCGCGCTGCCCGCCGTGCCCTCAGGGCGGGCTGAGGGCGGGCTGAGGGCGGGCCGGCGCGGTGGGGGCGGCGGCTCTGCGCTCCCCTCAGGAGCTGTCCTGCCGGGAGCCGCCGCCAGCCGGGCCGGTCTCGGCGCCTCCAGCCTCGCGCTGATGATGCTGAGGCGAATGCTGCTGGCCTGGGCAGGGCTGAGGTAGGGTGGGTTTGGTTCTCGCTCGTCCTGCTTCACAGTCCATCGTATTGTGGCCAAAAGTAACACCAGAGAATCACAGAATTGTTTGGGTTGAAAGGGGCCTCTGGATATCGCTCAGTCGAACCCCCTGCCAATGTAGTGTTGTCTGGAACGTGTCCCGGGGTGTTTGGGATGTATCCGGAGAGGAAGACTCCACACCCGCCCTGGGCAGCTGTTCCAGTGCTCTGCCATCCTCAACTTAAAGTTCTTCCTTATGTGGAGGTGAAACTTTTTTAGTTCACGGCCAGCGCTCCTCGTCCTGCTGCTGGGCACCACCAAAAAGAGTCTGGCACCATTCTCTTGGCACCCGCCTTGAAGATAGATGCATATAAATAAACATGTTGAGGTGGCCAGCTAATGAGTGTGGAGCCAAATCAAAATGCACTTTTGTTCCATTAGGCCAGCAAATGTAGCTTCCCAGTGCTTACCGTGGTAGCAGTTCTGAGCTCTTGCCCAATCACCCTGTTTATAAATAGCTGTTGATTAGTTAGCTACAAGTAGGTCTGGTAGTTTTGAGAGGATGAGCAATAGTGCAAATGCAGGTGTTTCCCTCCAGCTGGGTGCTTGCTTGAAGCAATGCTGCAGTTCTGAGCCAGGGCTGGCTGCAGGTGCCAGCTTTGAAATGACAGAAATCAAAGCTGGATGCAGCTGGCGAATCTATAGATTGTTTATTTTGTGCAGAGTGAGAAAGAGTTAGTGGTCCTGATTTAAATTCTAGTTTTGAATTTTCACATTTGACTAACTAATCCCTTTTGCGGTATCGATTAGAGTTCTTCATTTCCTGTCCTACAGTTGTTTATTTTGCAGCATTTTGTACTGCACTGGTTCAACATCTCTTCTTGTGGGAATCCCCTTGCAAAGTTCCCCTTCTGCCTCTGTCTCAGAGAATTATCACTTCACCATGAGACCACACAGCTTTCACAAAATCCTTTCTTCTCATGAACTGTTGAAAAGAATTAAGATTCAGTGACAGAAAAGGCAAATCACTGTCAGTTTTCATTCCTCACCACAAGAACTAAGTTCTGATGGTGGGGTACCGAGTATTGTGTTTAAATGCTAGTCTACCAGTCAAAGCATGTGGATTTCTGTGTCAGTTGTGTCTCTTGTTATCTGTCACGTAGAACCACTGCTTAACCTGAACCTGAACTAACAGACAGATGCAAATCTCATGCCTCACCAAGGAGCACCACCTGCACGACACAGTGCTCTGTAATCCTTGGCATTTCACCGACTTTGCTGTGAAATTCAATCAAAAGAAACCAGCCCTGTAACCCTTATTTCTGTGCTGGGAGCCTTCCAATGGTGACTAGCATGAGTATTTCCTCTGGGGCAAATGACCTGAAGGTGGCTGTGAAGGAAAAACCCTTTAAATATAATAAGGGTGTTAACTGAAAACAAGCTATGGCCTTTTAAAGGGCACTGTGGCTAATTATTCCATTGCAAAACTTCCAGAAAAAGCATTTTGTAGAGTTCATGCTCTCAGATCATTTGTCCAGGGTCCCTTTGTCTTGCAGTGTGGAAATAGGTTTTTTGAGCAAAAATCTGCAATACACTGAAAATAGAAAATCAGAAATACGGAATTAAGAATAATTTAGTATGCGATTAAATAAACCCCTCAAAATTCTCCACGTTTTCCATCTCGCTGAACTGATGACAGCTCCTCTGCGAAGAACACAAACCATCAGGTTGCAGCTCATCTGCCGCACCTTCTGTTTCGCCGCGCTGGCACTGGCAGCCCTGCGGTGGGGGCAGTACCTGCGGTGAACCTGGGCGCGATAGGAGCGAGCAGAGCCGGGGCCGGACCCGGCTGGGAGGCGGAGGGGCCAGAGCTGTCCCCAGGGACCTGGCCCAGGATTAGCACATGGAAATGACATCACCCGCAGCCAATCGCGGGGCCCCGGGGGTGCAGCTGGATGGAGGCCATCCTCCACTTAAGTAACAAGACATGACATACCATGTGCTAATGCTAAATAATTTATCCCTCAGGCATATAGTGAATTGCAAAGCCAAGCCGAGGCCTGGTCAACAGTTTGTAGCTTAAATTAAAATTGGCTTTCCCATCTTCAAGGGAGGGAGGGGGCTGTCAACTGTTGTGATGAAAAGTGGAGTGCAGAAAATCGCTTCTTTCTCCTGTTACAATTTGATATTATAAAAACACTTTTCAGTAATTTTGGAGGTGTATCCCACATATCTCTATTATATGAAGGAAATTCATAGAGGAAGGCTTAAGATGTTGTGAATAATTATTTCTGATGTATCCTTGAAACTTAGGCATTAGCATCTGTAATATCATAAACCAAAACTATTCCAAGATTTGGTTATATGTGTTTCAATTTACAAATGGTATGTGGGCGTTTCCATAGAAGAGCCATAAATTAGTCTTGTTAGGAATCCAGAGGCAATTGCTGCTGCTCAGGCTGAAGTTCAAGCCCAGCCTATGTCAGGATGCTGGAGCCAGAGCACACAGAGGTGGGTGTGAAGTTAAACCACAGCTGATGTCTGCTCAACTTAGTGTGCAACTAAGCTTGGCCGAGCCTTTGACATTTGTTAAAATATTTAGCTGATTTTACTTAAATATGCTAAACAATATTTTCCCTGAAACCACAAGAAGCTAAAAGTAGTCAGCACTTTCCATAACCTGTCCTTGCATAGCACGTTACAAAAATGGTGGCTCAAATATTCTTTAATCTTCCAGTATACTATTGGCCAGGAAATCAAAAGATGCAATATGCCCAGTGTTGGTGGGAAGGAGACAGGAATCACCTTTAAATTATTTTAGGAGAAGAAATTAAAACAGCCCTATGGAATAAAACAGAACGTATTTACCTAGTCTCTACTTGTTTGGCAAGTTAAAACCTAGAGAGCATGAAGTGGTACAGAGATAAAAAGAGCATGTGGGGGAAAATACAAAACAAATAGGTAGTGTCTCTGGAAGGTCTTCAGGGAATTCAGCTTTATTGCCACAATAGCACACTTTTTCGTGTGCAATTACTTGTTGTCATGGAAATGGATTTTGAAGATTTCTCCTATTTTAGATGCTGCAAAGCATGCTTAATTTAATTAAGAGGTTGCCTTTGATTTTTTTCCTTTCCATATTTGTTTACTTATCTAGGTTCTTGTATGATTGTCAGGCCAGTATCCAAATTTGCCTTAGATAACAAAAAGAAGAAAACATGCCACTGAAGAAAAAAAAAAATGCAGGAGCAGATAAAAGATTAATATATTATTTATTTTGTAGGTTATATAAGTTCATAGTGTGCCTTCAGTGATAGGGAAAGCTCTTCTATTAATAATTTCAACCTTGGCAAAAGTGTATTTTTGTAATTGATCATTCTCTTTTTGCTAAAACACTTGTGCAATGAATGACAAAGCCTTTGCATCTAGATCCAAGTAGGAACAGAATTTGGCAAATCTAATTCCTTCCTGGATTTTCGCAGCTCTACTTCCTTTAGGAAGTTTTTAGTCAATGGGAAACAAAGGCTTATTGAAAGGATTAAAGTTGCAACTATTCTCTTTGTTTTAGAGCTTCAGTCACGGTTTTCCTCTAGTAAACAACATTTGCAATTAATAAAACTTCTAAAAAAACAGGAACTTTGGGGAAGTACGTGCTTATGATAAGCAGCAGGATTTCTTTTGAGAGAACTCTATACAAAGGTGTAGTCTTTTTAAGTTCAGACAATGATAACAATTGAGTTTCTCAAAGCATTTTGGAAATGTTCCTTCTGATAAACACAAGACGTGCTCTGCAGCCAGAGATGGGAAATACATTTAATAGGAGATGTCTTGTCAACAGTTTTTCTGTCCCAAAATTATTTGAAATAGCTGAAAAAAGCTCACATTTCATATGATGCATAAACCCAGTAGTCATGTCTTACATGATTAAATATTTGTATGCATGGGACATACAGTGCTGCATATATTTATGAACTATTATCCATAAATTGTTCATAGTTCCATTTAATATGGTGCTTGAAAAAGGCATTTGGATGACAGTTATCTATGCATGAATAAGAACACATGGAATATTTAATATTTATAATTTTTTTTACTCTTTTTATGTCATGAAATATAACATTTTCATGTTTATGTCCGCAGTATTTCTCTTACTTGCTTTATGTGTTTATTCCCAAAGAATTCTCTCCTGCCAGTGGGAAACTGAGGGAAGCACTCTAAGTTTGAGGATGGCCTTCCCTGGAGGGCAGTGTGGAGCTGCCAGATGAGTGGGACTGGCCAGCACAGGAGATTTTTCATGAACAGCTCAGCTATTGTTCTCACCCAAGTGTCCAGTTCTTTTTCTGGGGTGGCTGATGTCCAAAGGGTGCTGAAAACAGCAAAGTGGAGCATAATGGGACTGCAGTTCTGGCTGGGTCCTTAAGTGCAAGGACATTTTCTTACATGACATTTCTCAGTTACAGAAACCATCTGAAGCCATTGTCCTTCTGATAATTTTCACACTTTTATCTCACATGTAGGCAGATTTTTTTCTTCTAGATTTTGTCAGCTAAGTGTTCTGTATCCTTGCTGACCTCTAACACAGAGTTAACTTCTGGTGAAGTTATAAACCTTTAGAAACAGAAAGTTGTGATGGAATCCTGACTCAGACTTGGTTTCAGCAGCAGGAATAGTGCTCTGTTATCAGTAGATGTGAGTCAGGCACCAGCACTAAGTCTGATCTTTGAGATTGCCCATTAAAAGTGTTCTTTGTTGCTGTCTGGAACAAACAAGAAGCAGAGACGAGTCATCTAAGTTATTAAATGTGTCACAGAGGATGTTAAATGCTATTTTTGAGCGATTTTCTTACAGCAATTGTGAAGTATTTTGTAAACAAAGTGTGTTATTGGTCAGGGGTGCTCTGTCAGACATTCTGCATTTATCCATTGGCTCAGCCTGTGAAGGCAGTGACACACAAGTTTGTAGGTTGGTGGAAATGGACAGGCTGATTCCTAAAGGAAATAAGCGTTAGCATGAGAACAACAGCTGAGCTGAAATCCCATAAGCCAGGAAGAACAGCTACACAATTACACTAACAGGTGGTTGGTTTCAAAACAAATTTCAAGGTCTAACAGCTCAGTGCACCTGCTTTGGGCTGATTTCTTTTAAAACTTGGTTTTGGCATGAACCATTGATAAAAACCATAATTTTTTGTATCTGAGAAAAGTCATCATTACCATATAGTGATGATAAACTGCTAAAGCTTTCTAAAAGTTGTACTTAGCAGAAGGTAATGTGGGTCATTCTGCACACTCTGTCATTAGAATTCAACTTTTTGAACTGAGAGTTTTCTCTCTCAGACCTACCAGGCAAACATGACAGACCTCTCCTTTTGTAAGTTGAGATCATTTCATAGATTAGAGTGCTGTGATTTGAATAAGGTATGACTTCAGCTTTTGCATTCACCATCATAAGAAAAATCAAATTTTATTTTTAGAAAGAGTTTTACAAAGATATTCAGCAAATTATATCTATTATATATTATATATTTTGTACACAGAATGATTCTGAATAATTATAAAGCTCATACTCTTCTACATTTCTTTCAATTGCAGACATTTCATTTGGGGAAATTTTTTTATTTGCTTATATTTGTTCTCAGCTTATAGAACTCTCATGAATTTTGGAGAAAGGAAGTATGGTCATTTTCATTTTGGACAAAAAAATCAAAATGAGCTTTTATCATTCATATGTCTGTACTGGTGGTCCTTTATGGATGGCTCCCACATGTCAGTAAGAAATAGGATAAATCTTAAATTTGGTCAGAACAGATTAATAAATGTTGCTTTTGGGACTGAAATTGATTAGTTTCTACAGAATTGGAATGAGATTTTCACAATGGTCTAAATACCTAGAAATTCAAGGTCCTCTAATTTTCAGGCAGTGGGATTACAGGATGCCAAGTTCAGCACACCTCTGTAAGATCTGGACCTTCATTCTGAACACCTCACTTTGCAAACCTGATATGTCAGGGTTTTATGTGATGCAATCCTGAGTTCTGGAATTATGTGGGGGTTTATTTTCTTCTAGAGACAGTAACAAGAATATGATCCCAATTTTCAACTCTGAGCAACTAGTGTGATTAAAAGGTATGGAGCCTACATGCAGGTTTACAGCCTAGTGCCAGGCTGGGGACAGCAGTGTGACCTGCACTCTGCTCAGACTGCAGCCACCCTTCACTGCTGTGCCTCCTCTCTCCTCTTGTCTGTTGAGCAAAACTTGCAGATATTTATAAACTTCATGGTGTTCCAGATTGTGGGGAGGGCATACAGAACTGTTAGTGTAGTTCTGTAGTGCTACTTTGGGCCTTTCCACTCTCCATTTTGCTGGTTTTTAAAGAGCTAACATTATGATTGTATGGTTAACAGCTGGTACCAGAGAAACAGAAAAATAGTGGCATCTCCTATCTCCTTTTAACGAATGAAAATGCAAATCTACATAACAAGTTTTTGTTTTAACTGTCCTTTATTCAGAATGACTAAATACATTACCTGACAGCAGTAGTGGTTGTTTTATTCTGAAGATTCTATTTCTCAGGTCTTGATAGATGACTCTTCCTACTGCATTGTAGAGGGTATTCATAAATTTTCCTTGGCTGCTGTATGTGATTTGACTATGTGACTGTCAAAGTCTGTCTGTTAGATTTTCAAATTTTTCTAGTTACATTCTGGGCTTCATGATCTGTAGACTTGAACCCATCTAACTGGAAAATAAGATATGAAAGATACTAAGTTACACCTTGTAAAATATACTTAAAATGCCCACCTTTGAATTTGCTATGCCAGTTATCCAGGTTTGCAGTGGATTTACCTTTGTTGTAGTTATTCAGTTAACAAAGACTGGCGTGGTTTGGTTTTGTTTTGGTTTTTTGGCTGTCAGCTTAAGACAGACACTAGCACAAAGCTAAAACTTCAACTACCTTTCTTGGGGAGGAAAAGTTAGCAAAATTGAACATTAGATTAAATAACTGGGTAAAAGGTTTTATCACTTGAAGAGTCAAGATAAAAAATAAAAAAAACAACCTGGAAGATCACGTGAATTAAGAATCTAAGGATCTACAAATTTGCCCTTGTGAATACCTAACAGTGAGCCAGGGACAAGTCTTTTCTGCCACTGAGCTGGGAGGGACTGGCTGTTCCCAGAGCTGTCTGACAGGTCAGCTTCTGTGGTCACCCATATTTGCGCCCAAGTTCAGCGTGAAGCCACACTCTCAGACAGAACTACCCCTGTAAGGCACCACTGTCCATGCCAGACAAAGTCACCCAGGTCATCAAGCTCTGGTGTTTATTTACCTGTCGACCTTACTTGAAACACAGTGAGAAACGCTCAGGTGAACGTGCAGCAGAGATAAGTGTTAGTGATTTCCTCCGATAAGGGTTTGCTTCCCCTGAAGAGAGCCTGATGAAGAGCTGAGAAACTGCCAGTGGGCAGTAGTCTCGGGCACAGCCCCGTTTGCAAAGGCATGTTTGTCTGTGGTGTGAATCATCCTGAGATGTGCCATTTGGTTTTCTGCATTGGAGACTGGCACTGCTGTGATTAACACTTCCTGTACTTGCTGTGAAGGTGCTCAGAGTTGGGTTTGTACTCTAATTCATCAGTAGATTTTAACCTGCCAAGAAGTGATTCTTTGTTGCTTTCTTAGAATGGGGCTCTAAGCTTTCCAGAAGGTCAGGACAGCTCAGGACTTAGTTTTGAATGTTTTTCTCAGAGACCTGATTGTTGAAGAGTGCTCAGATTTTAAATTGAAAGATTTGACTCGCTTTGTAGAGGAAGAAGAACAAATAGGATTGAGAGTGGGAAGGTCACATGAAGTACTTCTCAGCAAGCTTTAAAATTGCTTTGTTTCTCCCTCTCCTAGTGCTGTGAACTTGACAAGCCAAAGGAAGACCTTAGAAAACAACTCAAGGAAGCTACAAAGGCTATTGAGAAAGCAAAGAAGCCAGCTAGACCGGTTAGTGTCAAACACAACATTTTCTAATAGCTGTGGTGGGTTGATTTCTCCACATTTCTCAGTAGATACACATCACATATTCTGAATGGTACAGTGCAGCAAGTGAGGATATTCTCATACAGAAAGTTCACTTTTTTAATGCATAACAATAGGATGCATTCTATTTTGAATCTTTCTAAATCCCTGGTAAATAGACACCTGCTTAACCCAAGGTTGAAGAGATGATGAAAATTTTAATACATTATCTTTTTTTCACTTAGAGTTTAGTTACTGGACTTTCTGTAAAAATACTAATTTTTCTTGGTTTGGGCACAATTACTAAAGCACATATTTGGCAATTAATTTAGAAATATGTGAGTTTTTAGAAATGTCAAAATTCTGAACCTCATGCTTAGGAGACTATTGCTTAGAGGGAATGTTGGTAGTAAATTGTGATATTTTATATTTGAAGAATCAAGGGATGGCATAATACTGACAAGTCATAGGCTAAGCTTCTCAGTGAGAATAAGATTGTAGATAACAAATCTCTTATCATATAATAATCTAGCTCTTCTCAGTTTTGTCTACAAAAAGGTATTGGCACTAGGATGTATGGTTGATAAATGTAGGGGACACATCTATGACTGTAAGTTGAAGTAACCATCATGTATTTCCAGGGAACCTATTAGCAAGGTCACTGTAAGGCAATGTCATATCCACAATCTCTGGATATCCACAATCTCCTTCCTTCCTAATTGTGGAAAAATAGCAGGATGAGTTGCTCAAACAACATGCAGTGGCCAGGGTGGTCTGCACAAGTATTTGCACAGTGTGCAGTGCACAGTGGGAAGACTTGATATATCCTGGCTCCCTGGTTGCTTTTCTTTCCCTTCTTTCCTCCACTGGACAGACTGTGTCAGTCTCCACAGTGTATTAAATCCTGCTTGCAGACAAATGTGGTCATTTAGTACCTGTTAAGGAATGGCAGTAGAGGCAGGTGTTCCTCTGTGTTCTACCTCTTGCCACTGGATTTAATTTCTCTCTCTCAGTATTTCACTCCTTCCTCTACAAAGTCTAAGAGACATCTCTGATGTAAATCAAGGGAAGTTTTCTTTTCCTGTTATGTCTCCAAGAGCCCAATTCTCCTTACCATACACTAAGTCCAATTTGTGAATAGCAAGTCCTTCTCTGCGGTTGGGTAGGTTATTGAACCACATTTCTCATTCTGCCCTTCAATTTTATTTTCACAAAAGGAACCCATGGTTTTTGCATTAGGAATCAAGGGAAGGTTTTGTTGTTTTGCAAGCTGAAATATTTCCAACAGTGAAAACAAAAGTCTCATCTCTGTTCAGGCTTAGTTATAGTTTTTTTACAGAACAATTCAGTTTGAAGGGAAATTTGAATTCTGTGGTGATACTAAATGAACTTTAAGTCACATGTATGCACAGCATGAACAAAAGGAAATGGTTCTTTATGAGAGACAACAAAACTGGGCAGGTAGAAAGAAGGAGAATGCTGGTTTTGCAATACAAAAGGCAATACAAAAGGAAATCTTTTGTGTAACCAGTTTAGCAAATAACAATAATAATAACAGAGACATAAATGTGGCAAAGAAGAAAGAATTTAAAAAATATACTGGCTGACCTGAGCTAGAATCGCCTTTGTATGATCTAATGTGGTGTACTTTAAAGCACATTAACCAATAAAAATGAGGATAATGCCTAATAAACTGGCTTTGACTTTGAATGTTTGAGCTGTAAAATATCTTTGTTTCAAATATTTTTTTCATTAGTGATGATATCCACAAGTGGTAACAAGTTTCTTCCTATACCATATCTATTCATAAAGAGGGATGGGACATTCAACCTTTGTCTTTGGAGTGAGCAAATAAATTGTACTTGCTAAGAGAATGGATTGTCTGTTATGGATTGTTTGTGTCTATCCCAGTGGATCTATATGAAGCTGTCAGTCTTTGTAAATTATAAATGTCATACAGGTTTTTCTAGAGTGGGCTGAATAACATTTTAAATTGTGGTGTAATGATAAAAGTTAAAGCTGTAAACTGAGGTTGACATAGAATTACAAAGGAAAATAATCTCATTTTAACTGGCTCTGTAGGTGGTACAGTGTTCTACAGAATCACTGAGCCATTACTTGCTCTCTAATTGTCCTTCATTTTCCTGTGCTGAGAAGCTATTAGTGCAGGATATAAATTGTGTCTGTGTTGGATTTCTGTAGCTAACTGGTAAGGAATCAAATTTTTAATTTGTCATATAGAGCTCCCCAAACAGCCCTAGAATTTCAGACAATAAAAGCTGCTAAAACCTGAGGAGTTTGGAGTCACCCTTCTGAGAGACAGTGTTGATAATTTAAAGGCTTTTTGGCTGATTTCAACTCCGAGGCCTATTTTCTTTGCAGCATACTGCTTCAAGCTAATGGATTTGTAATTAGTGGGGAAGCCAAATTCATAAGGCTGCTCAGTATTTAAAGTATTACAGTTCAAGCTTAAGAGACAGTTCATTACAGCAATAATACTTCTTTGTCTTCACTGCAGTTACAAAAAGTGATTTTTACATGTGCTTATTTGACTCAAGTGAAGCCATGGTCCCATCATGAACCCTGTAGCTTTCTTCTCTTCTGCTTTGTTTGCACAAGACACTTTCTGCTTAGGTGGTTAATTGTAGGCTTGCTTTGGAAGAGTGTTGGTTCTGGCTTATGGTCTCCAAAGCAGTGACCTTAAACTGAACAGGGAATAATTGAGATCCTATCACTTTGCAGAACCTTAAGAAGGCTCATAAAATATGACACGAACTCTGAAGAGACAAATTGAAAGATCTGACGATGAGTGGGAAGAAAAACTTTCTGTCCTAAACAAATGATTTATCTTTATGTCTCCATTTCCAAAACCTACTCCAAATAGGTTCAAAATCATCTCTAGCATTCGCTTTAGCTACTAAAATCAATGTTTGCTGTAATTTTTCATTGGATAGCAGAAAATGAATATGATGTATTAAATTTTTTTTCCTTCATTGTGATCTTTACCTAGTCTCACCTGTTTTTTCCCCTCTCTCCTTACTCCTGTGTCTCTTTGTAGAAGTTCTCCCAGTTTTCTGAGTATCTTTCTCAGGAATATTCTCAGCCAAAAGTTCTCTATGATATAAAGTCCAATCAGTTATTTAATTTTTCTTCTTCTCTTCATAGTCTTCATATGTTTAGGCAGCTTGGAAAAAGTATTGCATTTGAATTTATGCATCATTAGTGAATATCTGTGTGTGTACAACTGAGAGCAGAATTGGCTTAAAGTCTGCTCCAAAAGGAAATTGAGTAGGATCCTGCAATTCCGACTTGTTTCCCTTTCCAGCAGCAATGAGCTGAATCAGAAGAGAACTAATGAATTCTGGTCGATTTCCTTCAGTGCACCAAAGCTCTTTAAACACATACTGAAGAAGGGAAATGAAGTAGGATTAGTCCATTTCCCTTTGAAGCCAGCTGTGTGTTCACAGTGCATATACTGGAACATTATTTCACTTACCAGTTTCTGGCCATGGGCCAAACTGTAGTATCATCTTGAATTGATGCAGGATCCAAAAATACATAGAAAAACACATGGACTGCCTCTGGATAATAAGTAAGAAGTTGGTGTCTGTATGGCAATTTGGCTTGTGTTTTTAACTTTAGTTCATTACCTGTTTGGCAAAGGATCATCTAATTTATTTTTTTTATTAGCTTTACCATAGCCAAAAGCAGTTCTGGGGCCTTATTTTACCCTTCAGACTGACTTCAAATGGGAGTATGAATTTTTAATGTAATATTAAAACACTTTGCTGTTTCTTTACTGCTGTTGTGTTTTTGAGGGAGAAAAGTCCCATGTGTTTCATCTTATAGAGAGTGTTTGGGGAAGAGGGATGTTCAAGGAGTTGTGTAATACTGAAAGCTGTGTATGTGTGACTCATACACGTCCTAACTGTTGTGCCTGTATATAGCACCTTTCTTTCCAGACAGTCTCAAAATATTTTGTAAATAATTTGCTAATTTTGTAGTGTGTGACACTCTCAGGGACTTAAGAAAGGACTCTTCTACTCCAAAAGGTTGAGACTTTGCAAGTGCATTTGAGTTTACTGTTGCTGCCACACAGTTGAACAGTTCTGATTTTTTGTGTAGGAGATAAGCAAAAGATAAGCAGAATCTTATCCACAGCACTACACACGTTAAGTACACTGGAATGAAGTGTCTGCTCTCACCTTAGTACTGTGCCATTGGAAAAAAATGGAACATTTGGGCTGGAACCTTTCTTCTACAGTGCTCTTGGATCTCTGTGACTTTCAGGGCCTTTCTTATAATGTGCTCAGTGGTAGTGACCCTGGCTTTATCTGTTATAGGGCATCTGTGATTTACATGTTTTCCCATGCTGCTGAATTTTGCCTGTTTAATTCCAGGACACTTCTGAAGGCACAAACAAAGCTGACAACTGTGCTGTCCTGGTGGCAGAAAGGAAGGTGAACCAGGCATTTACTGGTGCAGCAGTGGCAGCTGGAGGTTATGCTTTGTCACAGCTGTGTTGACGTAGCTGTGCTGGAAGGAATCTGTAGTACAGTGCTGACTCCAAGGATCAGTGGATGAGGGCTCTTGGCTGCACTTAAAGTAGGTGTGCACTAACCAAATTAGGGATTTGTAAATTAGGACTGGGACTTCAGACTTGATCCAGAAGTGAGGGGAGGATTGGTGGAATACCCAGAGCACCAGAGCAATATTAGACTCTGTCAGGCTGAATTCAGTGCAGCTTCTCTCTGAGGTTCAGGTTTGCTTGCAGGTTGAGTGAGCTGCTGAGTTGGTAACACAACTGACAACAGGCAACTAGCATAGGCAACCTTCCTATGGAAAACATGCTAACAGGAATTTTAAGGAAGCTAGCAGTAGATGTAAAGAAATTTGCCTCTTGTCTGACTGCTGGTTTTTACCTAATAATAATACTGTCAGTAACAGACAGTGGAGGATTGTGATTGCAGGGCTGAGTTCAAACCACAAAATCTGAATACGTATGGGTCTGCCTTTTGAGAAGAT